AAGCGTCTGCCTTCGGCTCAGGTCATGATCCCAGGATCCTGGGATCGAGCCCCGCGTCAGGCTCCCTGCCCCGCAGGAAGCCTGCTTCTCCCTCTCCCACTCCCCCTGCTTGTGTTCCCTCTCTCGCTGTGTCTCTGTCAAATAAATAAAAAATCGTAATTTAAAAAAAAGATTTTATTTATTTGAGAGAGAGGGAGAACGAGCAGGGAGGGGGGAGGGACAGAGGGAGAGAGAGAGAGGCAGACTCCCCGCTGAGTGGGGAGCCCAACGTGGGACTCGATCCCCAAACCCTAAGATCATGACCTGAGCTGAAGGCAGACGCTTACCCGACTGAGCCACCCTGGTGCCCCTTTTAAAATATTTCACTTATTTAGAGAGCATGCACACAGGGTGGGGGCGGACAGAGGAGGAGGGAGAGGGACAAGCAGACTCGTGCTGAGCACTGAGCCTGATGTTGGGCTCCATCCCACAACCCTGAGATCATGACCCCAGCTAAAACCAAGAGTCAGAAGCTTGACCGACTGAGCCACCCAGGTACCCCCTGGGTACATTTTTGTAAAGGTTGATGTAGTATACAGACACAGGCTAGGTGGGATCATACTTTAGATATAAATCTGAATCTTTTCTCTGTTAATATTGTGTCCCATCAGCATTTTTCCATATAGTTAAAAATCATTTTGTAAACATTGTTAATGGACGTACCATGATTTATCTAATAATTATCCTCCCCCATAATTAGACATTTTTGTTCCAGCTTTTACTATTGCAAAATATACTAAGCATCTCTGATGAGGCATCTTTTTCCATAACTCTGTTTGCTGCATTACCTAGACACAGTTCTCTGAGTTGTACACACAAGAAATGGCTGTCTCCTCTTGGTATAATGCTTTCTTACTTCCAGAGTTCTTTCATCTGTGTTATTTCATTTGAGGAGTAAGGGGGGTGATGGTATGATTAAGGGCCAGGGTGAGGGTGAGGAGAGTGAGGAGAGCCAGTCCCATAGGCGGTCAGAAAAGGAGGCGACAGTGCAATGAAGCCATTAGGAGGGACTTCCCGGAGGCTAAGTCCGAGCTTGGCTGGTGAAGGGCAAGTAGGATGTGCAGGGTGGCCCCCACAAGACATGGCGCACACAGACCTGTAGATTTGAGCAGCGAGTCAGTTGGGCATGGAGAGATCAGACTGGCCACAGCCAAACCCTGTGTTTTTGGGGAAATAGTGGTTAGACAGATTATGGACCACAGAATTGATCCTGGGCCCATAAGTAGTGCAGAGCCAGCAGATGTCTTTGAACCTGAGGTTATCTTAAGGACATGATGTTTTAAGATTAACTTGGGAGGGGAGGGGATCAGGGAGAAGCTGGAAGTGGGTGAGGCCTGTGCTAATAGAATGGACATGAGGTGATTGCCTTGAACATTTGAGGGGGCCTGTAGACAGCAGGGTCTCTGCACGTGTGGGGCTAGCCAGCCTTGACGGGCGTGTGGTGGGGGCTGGAGGACAGTCAGAAATTTTGTTCCGGGGCACCTGGGTGGCTCAGATGGTTAAGCGTCTGCCTCAGCTCAGAGTCCTGGGATCGAGTCCCGCATCGGACTCCCTGCTCCTTGGGAGCCTGCTTCTCCCTCTGCCTCTCTCTCTCTCTCTCTCTCTCTCTCTCTCTCTCTCTCTCTCTGTCTGCCTCTCATGAATAAATAAATTAAAAATCTTTAAAAAAAAAAAAAAGAAAAGAAATTTTGTTCCATATGTTTCATTTACCTAGCAGTTTGACCTGTGGAATTGGCGAGACTGAGTTTTTGTGGGCATGACAGGTTTTTATTTTAAAATTGATCTCTAAGATTTTAATGATTGAGGTGCATTTGAATTTCCTATCCTCCTTAATGTAAAATGCTGAGGCAGAAATTGCTCTCCTGGGAAGCAGGCCTCAAGCTGGCATACCAGGCAGGTTGAGATTCCTCCAGCCTCCACTCACTCAGAATGCTCCTTCCTCCTTCCTCGAGTGTGTCTCTAGGTCCCAGTGCCCACTTAGCCTCTCCACCTGGGGGAAAAAATTAAGCAAGGCTCCCAGAGGCCTGTAGCTTAGGGTATTGTCAGCCCAGGCTGGGGAGGTGGGGTGAGAGTTCTATCCGAACGGCACAGTTTACATGTCAGTACCCACATCCACCATCTGCCCCTACCCTGTCGGTTCTTCCCTCTGGAACTCTGCCTCTGAATTCTACCCCTCTTGCTAAGAATTTAACCCCTGCATGACCTAAGCTTTGCCCACCTGCAACTTTGAGCTGTTTGGGACTCTTCCTAGACTCACCTCTGTGCCTTAACTTTTGCCATTCCCTCCACCTAGAATACCTTCTTTTTCTTGGGCTGTTTTTGCTCACCCCTTGAGACTTAGCCCAAGAAGCCTTTCCTGATACCCACCAGGCTGAGCTAGGTGTCCCTCCAAGTGTTCCCATTGCGTCTGCTGTGTTTCTGTGTCTGTTGCTGTGTGACCCTACTGGATTGTAATTTTCTGACTACTTGTTTCTTTCCCTTAGTAGACTATGAGCTCCTCGAGGGGCTGGGTCTTCTTCCTCAGTGTACACCCAACACTCAGCACAGAGCCCATCTCCCAGCAGACCCAACCCATGTTCAAAGATGGCTGTATTATAAGACCCTGCAGTTCTGTTTGACGGAACACTCCAAAGCAGAGACCTCACTCATCCATAAAGCCTCAACTTTGCCACCAGCCTTTGGATTTTGAGGCGCTTTATTAGGTGCATATAAGTTATATCCTTTCATCTTAAATGTTTTGTCTGATACGAATATTACGTGTCTTTGGTTAGTATGGGTCTGGCATATCTCTTTTCATCCTTTATTTTCAGTCTTTCTATGTAATTTTATTTTGTCTCTTTTAGTAAGCATCTACCTGGATCTTTTAAAATCCTATCTATCTTTTAATGGGTGGGCTTTATCTATTTGTGATTAATGCTGCATTAATACTTCGACTGACTTCTGCCACCTTCATTTCTGTTTTCATTTTATACTTAGTGTCCTTTTCCTTTGCTATTTTTTTCCTTTTTTCCTTGCCTTTTGTTAGAGTGATCAAGTTTTCTGTTTTTCTTTTTTTGCCCTTCTGGTTTAGAAACTCTGAATTGTATCTGTATTCTTTTTTCTAACATTTTATTTATTTGAGAGAGAGAGAGTGTGCGAGTGCACGGGTGAGCAGAGGGAGGGGCAGAGGGAGAGGGAAAGCATCTCAAGCAGACTCTGCGCCAAGCACAGAGGCCCCAAAGCAGGGCTCGACCCCGCACCCCTGAGATCATGACCTGAGCCAAAACCAAGAGTTGGACACTCATCCAGCCAAGCCACCCAGGCACCCCTGCATTTCTATCCTTATAGTTAGTTACTCTTAGATTTTAACATACATACTAAACTATAATTTTTTGTAATGAAGTGTAAACACTTTTACATGTAAATTTCACCAAAAGGCAAGGCTCTTGTTACTCATTACCCATTGAACAACCCCCCTCCACCTTCCTTCCTTGCTAATGTTTCTAGAACTTAATGTTTTAAAGTGGCTTAAACTATTTTTTTTTTTTTACATCCAATGGTTAATTAAATTGACCCACATATCCTATGGATGCCTGGGCCTTCCATTGTTTCTTGCATCCCGCTTCTTCTCTGGCTTACTTTTCTGCTTGCCAAAGCACATCATCCTTCAGTGACTCTCCCAGTGAAGGTAGTGTCATCTTTCCTGGAATTCATGTTTCTGTGTGTGCGCCTTATAAGTGAGGGGGTTGTTGTTGTTTTAAGAAAATGGAATGACCTGTTAAAACTAATCAAGTTAAACATTCTAACATCCCAGGAACATGTGGTGGTGTAACCCACCTAGAAGTCTGACCAATTTATCGCTGATTCGGCTTTTACCGGAGACCCCTCATTTTTGGTTCTTGTGCTTCCTGCCTACACAGACTAAGCAATTAATACGAACAGTGGGCAGATCCTATGGGCTTTTAAAATGGGAGCAGTAATAACCACATGGGTAGTAATACTGCTCAGGTCCTTGATGTTCCAGGGGCCTCTGCCAGTAAACTTTTATTCTAGAATGGAACTGGGAATCCTTGGGTCCCTGGGGAAAGGGCCAGGAAGCTTTAGCTCTAATCCCATGGTAGATGCTCTAGTTGTGTAAATTGGGCCTCATTTGTTTCTGCAGGCAACTTATCTCCTAGAGCCTTAGTTTCTTCATCTATAAAATGGGAATAATACCACCCACCTTGCAAGGTTTCTGTGAGATTCATTGAAGTGGATAAAGCACCTTGCACGTGCCCAACGCACAGAAGACATTGAATGAATGATCCCGGTCAGTACAGGCCCTGGCACTTGGGGGACACTCACTGAACACTTGTGCCATGGATGCAGGAGCTTCGTTGAGGGGATAGGTTATAAAAGGTAGATATTGATAAAGGAAGAAGGCATTCTCTACCAGGGCAACAGGGTGAACAAAGGAAAAGAATCCGAGGCTTACCCATTGCTGCTGTGCTCAGGCAAGTGAGAGGAGCAGACTGGCCAGAACAGAGGCGGGGGTGTGGGGAGGGAAGTTTAGGGAGAGCAGGCAGGGCAGAAAGGGGAGCCAGGACTGAGCGGGTATGAGGATCTCTGGATCTGCCGGGCCAGATGGCTGTTTTTGCCAGGCCAGCTCACTCTGCCTGGCACTTGACCTTGGTTCCCCTTCCTTCACAGCCCCTCATTCTTGAGAGGCAGAAGCCAGCCCAGTGTGGCCTAGTGGCCAGGCAAGCTGAAGGCTTAAAAGAGGAAGCCTCAGAATAAGATTGGTTTTCAACTAATATCTTATTAAGGAAGTTGAGTCATTCTACTTCTGCTATTTGTCCCCTCTGGGCATTCAGAGGAGGACAAGTTTTTACTTCCAGATGAAATAGTCATGAGAGGGATTTGCCCTGGTCTGCCCTGGTCCCTCAGTGGACATTTCCAGGATGACCCTGTAAAACAGATTTTTATTTGCCTTTTGTATGCAGAGACCTGAGGCTCAGCATGTTAAATGCCTTCGCTACAGCTGAACACCTTGTCTCTGTCGTGCCAACACCGAGAAGTCCCATTGTCTTGGTGATGGCATTCGTGAGGCAGGTGAAGGGCAAGAGAATGAGCTTTCATTCAGCATCTTCTGCGGACCAGGCAGACCGACTGCCTCATTTGGTCCCCACAAGTCAGAAGCAGCTGAGAGAAGCATCTCAGTGGCCTGCTCGAGCTTGGGCATGCGGGCTTGGAGACAGGCTTGGAGATAGTCGCGTGGGTCCAGCCCCACCTCTGCAACTTGTAACTGTGTTGCTGGTCTGGCAGGCCCCAGGCCTTCTCCGAGCCTGTCTTCACATCTGAAAATGAGGTCAGTAAATGGTAGGTGCTTAGTGAATATCGACAGTGATCATTCTGACTTGGTCATCCTGCCCTCAGATGATCCTGACAGATCAGTTACATTTGGGGAACTAGAAGGAACCTCACAAGATTTCCTAGGCCACTGGTTTTCAAGCTCTCTTCCTCAGAAGAGAAGACGTAGGATTCCACAGAAATCCTTGGTGGATGAAGGGAAGTTGAGCGCATGAGGCTCCTGCCCACCTTCTCTAGCAGAACAGCTGTTTCTCATATGAGTTACATATCATTTACGTGCTTCCAGCTCTTTTATATACTGGGCGTTGAGCTATGAGTTCATTTGACAAAAATGGTCCCACTGGCTTTTTTTTAAAAAGTTGCCAAGGCTAGAACCCCTCTCTTCTGGTTCCTAGTCTGGTGTTTTTACTGCACTTATTAAAAAAGGGAACTGAAATGTGAAGGTAATCATCACTGAAGATCAAAATAAAACATATTTTTGTACCTTCCAGTTAATCAGCAATTCATTTAGCCTAGATTCCAGTCCTGTTGCAGAATCCTAGGAGCAGAGATTTTGCTGTCAGAGAAAACTTTGCTATCATAGTTGTAAACAAGAACTGTCTGATTGAACTTCCTGCACTGATGGAAACATTCTGTATCTGCACTGTCCAATATGGTAACTAGTGTAACTGAGGGACTGATTTTTAAATTTTATTTAATTTTAATTGACTTAAATGTAAATAGCCACATGTGGCTAGTGGTGCCATATTGGACAGGACAGCCTTACAGTATAGACCAGGGGTCAGATGGTAGTCTCTGACCCCTTGGCATCAGAATCACCCAGAGAATTTGTCAAAAATACAGATTCTGGGCCTAATGCCCGCAAGTGTTTCAGTAGGTCTAGGGCAAGTGCATTTTAGAACTCATCTGGTTATTCTAACTTGCAGTCAGGTAGGAAACTGCTACATTATTGAGCTCTTCTTTGTCATGAAAGAGCGGTGTCAGAATCATGGCCTTGATCTTCTAAAGAGACTACAGCAACCTTCTGGGGAATGTCAGACCCTTGGAAAATATGATGGAAGCTGTGGAGCTCTTCCCTGTAAAAATACAAATTGTATATGGTTTCTGTGGCTCACAGACCATCCTGAGGCTGTCCTTGAACCCACATTAAGAACTCCCTAATTTGGGGGCACCTGGGTAGCTCAGTCAGTTAAGCATCTGACTCTTGATCTTGGCTCAGGTCTTGATCTCAGGGTTGTGAATTCAAGCCCCACATTGGACTCCACACTGGGCATGGAGCCTACTTAAAAAAAAAAAAAAAAAGAATTCCCCAACTTGGACAGAAGAGTTTTACTAGCTGGTGAGGGAGCCAAGTTTGTCTCAGGGCCCAGGAGCCTTGCCCACAACAGGCATGTCCTACAGATATGCCCAAGGGTTGCTCTGGTACCGTCCCAGTCACTGCAACCACCAGACTTCTCCGGGGGGGGTGGTCATCGAGGCCCCATAGAAGACAGACAAGCAGTGCACGTGCACCAGGCCCTAAAAGAATACTGAAAAAATAACACACCTTTTCTTTCCCCTCTGGTTTCTGTGGCCTTGTAGGTGAGCTCAGTGGGTTTGGCTATTACCCGTGCCCACATCTTCGGCTCTGACAGTGAGAGAGGAGCAGTATACATTTGAGGCCAGAGTGGAGCTGGGGAGAGCGTCCAGACTGAGTAATGGATCAGAATTTTGACTTGCCTTCAAAGGCAGAGACCTAATTGGCTCAGTCTTCACTCCCCACAAGCTATAGGAGAAAGAAGGGGCAAAGCTGCAGGGCAGTGGTCTGAGGCAGCAAGCCAGGGGCAAAGCTCAGGGCTAGGAAGGCCACCTGGCCAGCAGTCCCAGGCTTAATGCAGAACCCTGTTTTTTGTAGGCCAGAACCCTTGTAGAAGTGGGGAAGGAGAGAGGGAGCAAACATGTGTGAATGTGTAGGAGAGCTACTCTCAGGCCAGAGTATCCTGAGAATAGCTTCTTGAACTTGGAGGCTATCAGTGAGGGTCTGAGTCATGGTCATGTGGCACCAGAGAAGCTGTACAGCTCCCAGGCTGTGATTTTGTGCCCCTGGGAGGTGAGGGTCAGCCTGTTTTCCCGTGCCCTTCACAGGTTCAGCTGCCAACTTCTGGGTTAACCTCTCAACGGGCCGCTTGTTCCTCTCTCTGCCTGCCAGGCTGTTGGATGAGTCATCAGAGAACTGCAGAGGGGGCCCTTAGCCCTGCTGCCTCAGACTCAGCTTCCCTGGCACGGGGGAGTCCGGCATGCTCCTGGAGGGGGGATCAGGACCCCTGGCCAGTGGCCCAGCTCACTACCAAGGCAACAGGATGGCTCCTGGGGGCGAGGGGCAGCCCCCCAGCCTCTCTGGAGGGCTGTAGCTCAGGATGAGCCATGTCCGACAGAGACCGGCCCTGTGAACCGAAGCACAGCTGGATCTCCAACAGCTGGGTGCCCTTGCAACAACCTTGGCCTCATTTCTCTCACTCCAGATGGGACTTTCTCTTCATCCCTGGTGCTCGGGATCATCCTGTCTCTGAAGGTCATCCTCTGATACCCCCATTCAGCCAGCATCGGTCATCTCCTCTGTGCCCCACTGTGCTGTACGCTGAGGGCACCACCCCCACCCTCAGGAGCCTTCTGACCAAACAGGGCCATGAGTTTCCCCCTTGTGTTTGCCTGGAGCCCAGGAGACTCGGGGAGGGGGTTGCACAGCCTGGAGCTAGGGGTTCTAGGTCCTGGGCCTGTGGTGCCACACAAGGCTGGGTGACCTTGGGCAAGTCTCCGCCTAATTAGCATCAGTTTCTTCAAATGAAAATGAGATTAAAGCACTACTGACGTCCCTTTTGGCGCATCTTTAATAGTGTTAGGTTCCTAGGGCTTGCAGTTTGTTTTTAAGACCCCTTTTCCTCTGGCAAAGAGGCTGAGACAGGGCACCTGGGTGGCACAGTTGGTTATGCAGCCAAGTCTTGATTTCAGCTCGGGTCCTGATCTCAGGGTCCTGGGATCAAGCCCCATGTCTGGTTCCGTGCTCAGCGGGGAGTCTGCTTGAGGATTCTCTCTCTCCCTGTGCCCCTCCACCTCTCTCTCTCTCTCTCTCTCTCAAATAAATAAATAAATCTTAAAAAAAATAGGAGGCTGAGACAGGTGGGCACTTGGAAGTCAGAACACCCCTTAGACTTTTCAGGGTCAACAGGTAACAATGAGGCCACCCATGCCCCTCCCCAGCGTCCGGCATTCGGGGCCAAGCCCAGGCATCTGAACTGAAAGCTGGAGCCGCTCTGAGTTCGGAGTCAGCAGACCCTTGAAGGCAGAAATGGAAGGATCAAATTTGTAGTGACCAACAAGCCCATCTCACCCTCCACCCACCCCGTCCCGAGTCGAGCTGGTTCCGTGCTTCGTGGCTGTTGCAGTGAGGCCGACTCGGTAGGAAGAGAGCTTCAGCCTAGAGATGCCCAGGCCCCCACCATCCCAGGTCAGCTTCTAGCCTCACAGGACAAAAGACCAGCGGTGGAGAGGTTTGCCTTCACATGGCCCGCCTTTCTGCCCCAAGAGCGAATGGAACTGTGTTCCAGGATGAGTGGACTGCCACCAGGGGAGACTGCATCTGTTAGCGACAGCTTTAGACCCGCCTGCCAGCAGGGAGCACTTACTAAAAACCTGTCTGGGGCGCCTGGGTGGCTCAGTTGGTTAAGCGACTGCCTTCGGCTCAAGTCATGATCCTGGAGTCCCGGGATCGAGTCCCGCGTCAAGCTCCCTGCTCAGCGGGGAGTCTGCTTCACCCTCTGACCCTTCCCCCTCTCATGCTCTCTCTCATTCTCTCTCTCAAATAAATAAATAAAATCTTAAAAAAAAAAAAAGTCTGAATGCGGTGCCTTCTCAGGCTCGGTGGAAAGCAAGTCCCGACTTGGAGGGACCTTCGCTTTGGGAGCTCACAGGCCCAGTCTTTCAAAAGGTTCCCATAGGGTCGCTATCCCAGGTGAGTGCAGATCACTTTCATGACAGTTCTAGTCTACGTGCTGTTTGCACAAGATTGTCTCAACACTGGGCTCACTCTCCCTTGGGGCTTCCGGGGAACGCACAGGACTGCTGGAGATAGAACCAGTGAGGCACGAAGCCCTGCGCTTTATCTTCGGAGTCCTAGAGGTATAGATCGGTGTTGGGGGCGCTAATACAAATATTCCACTACTAGTGTTGCCTGAAAGAAAACTGATACCTAGGAGAGGTTTTCAGCAATGAGTACGGACATTACAGAAAGAAACATGTCAGTTCCTTCTGGAAGGCCACAGACAGATGCGTCCTGGGAAAAGAGCCAAGTGCTGGCGCTGCCATTTGCATGCTGATTTGTAGACTTTGTAAAATGTGTGTGTGTGTGTGTGTGTGTGTGCGCGCGTGTAATGTATATATCCACGCGTAAATCTATGCATGCACACATATATGTATCTACCTCCTGCTAGGGAACAAAAATTTGATTTTCCCCATTTGGAGAAAAGCCACTGTGGCCAGTGTAGACATGTCCTCTGAGAAGGCAAGGTTTGTGCAGAGTCAGTGAGGTGACTGGTGGTTTTGGAGTATGGAATCTACCGCTACGTTCCGGGAGAGCAAAATTCAGCATTAAAAAAAAAAAAAAAAAAAAAAAAAAAAACAGAAGGAGATTCGGCCATTATTTATAAAAGCAAGAAAGGACAAACCCAGATGTTTGCGCCCTGGCCATGCTGGAGGAGTGGGCCGGAATCCTCCTCGCTGGGCAGAATGGAAGGAGTCTGCTTGTGGGGGTGCGCTAGCAGGAGCCAGGGTGAAGGTTCATGCCACATGGAACAAGAAGGGTTGACTCCTTTGCCATTGGGGTGTTTGGAAGATAAATATATGAGGCAGAAAGAGGTCAAAAGCCTCACCCCCACTTTTCTCCTCTAACCCAGCCTGTTCTGCGTCTGGTCCCTCAGGGTGAGTGTGAGCCTGGGAGATGGCAGTGATGGAAATGGCCTGCCCAGGCGCCCCTGGTTCGGCAGCCGGGCAGCAGAAGGAGCTCGCCAAAGCCAAGGAGAAGACACAGGCAATGGGGAAGAAGCAAGGCCCCGTCAACAAGCTCGAGGCTGTGGAGAAGAGCCCCGTGTTCTGCGGGAAGTGGGACATCCTGAACGACGTGATCACCAAAGGCACCGCCAAGGAAGGCTCCGAGGGAGGACTGGCCGCCATCTCCATCATTGCCCAGGCCGAATGTAAGGGCCCAGACCGGGGCTGGTGACAGAGGGCAGGCGGGCGGGCCTGCAGGTGGGCACAGTCCTCGTGCCAGTGTGGCAGGGCACGGGGGAGGAAGGTCAGAGTTGACCGCGATCGGAGATTTTCACAAGACACAACTGGGGGGGGGGGGGGGTAAGCCAAGAATGAGTTGAAGTGGGAGCTGTCACCGTGCCGGGGGCTGGAACACAGAAGGGAGGAGTGGTGTGTAGAGGCTTTTGTCTATCATGAGCGGAGCAGGAGAGGAGAGCCGGGAGGCTTCACAGGTCCTGGGGCTCTTGGCAGGATCGTCAAGCAGGCCATCAGCTTGTGCTGTGACCTTGGGCAGCCTGAGCATCTCTGGAGAGGCCCCAGACAGGAAAGGCCAGGTCTCTTGGAAAGCCCCTCTGGGGCCTCTAGGCCCTTCCCCACCTTCTACGTTGAGGTGGCTCCACCCCAGAGAATGAACACCTGCTCTTTGGCCTGCTGGGCCAGTCAAGGGGACATAGGCCAATGCAGGGTGAGGCCTGTCTGGTCCTCTCTGCTTGCACTCACGATACTTCCAAATGACTCGGCATGGTGGCTGCCACCAGAGCCTGAGAAACTCCTGGGTGCCTGGCTGAGGCCAGAAGTCCTCCTCTGTCCCCCCTACCCTCTAAGATTTCTTGGGATACAGCCTGGGGAGACAGGTGGCATTTTCGACATGTACACATCCTTCCCCTGTCTTCCACTCCCTCTGGCTGGCTTTTGAGGAGAGATGAGAGAATACAAAGTGAAACAGTGGGTGACATGATGGTCCTAGTAGGCGCATACACAGTCACGTAGAAGTACACGACAGCTGGTGTTTATTGAGCTGTTACTATGTGCCGGCCGCTGCGTTGGGTGTGTTCTATGACGTCACCTAGTCACGTTAGTGAAGGGAGGTGGGCACCCTTCTGCCCCCGTTGTTGGCATTGCCCTCTGCTCTTGTTGAGCGGGAGGGTGGGCTGAGAGGGGCAGCGGCCCGAGAGGGTGTCTCTAAGATGTCTCTGTCCTCAGTGCCCAGGTCTTGTTCTTCCTCTCCTCCTTTCCGCTCGTCCAACCTCTTTTCCTTTACTCACAAGGTGAAAACAGCCAAGAGTTCAGCCCCACCTTTTCAGAGCGGATCTTCATTGCTGGGTCCAAACACTACAGGTAAGGAGGCCAGCTCGCGTGGGTCCCAGGGACCTGAAACCGAGTCCTCCCTCCCCCGGCTGCTTGCCCCGGCCGCTCCCCAGTGACCCCTGGCTCCCTCCTCCAGCACCTGTGGTTCAGCTCTTGGAACCCGCCCAGGTTTTCCTGGCTGAACTGCTCTGTCAGCCAAAGAAGCTTTTCAAAAGCTTTTCACGGAGTGTGGATGACTGCCTCTGGGTCCCGTCAGCTTGACATTTTATTTTTATTCTCCTCAGAGTCCTTGCTGCTCCCCTCTCGTTTCCCATCAGTAGGGAGGGTGCTGCGAACAGGAGTCACTTTCCCAGTGGTGCGTGACCAGGAACGCAGGTGCCGAGGGGCCGCTGTAACTGTGGGAGAAACCCGCTGGTGTCTTTTCTCCTGTGAGACACGCCCAAGGAGGGATGAGGGTTTGGACACCGGAGGGGACCAACAGACAGATTCGCAGCTGGGTGGCCCCACAGAAAGGAAGCCAGAGTGAGGCTCGGTCTGTTCCCAGGCTCCCATCCCCAAAGATGATTTTTTGGCTAACTGCAAGTTGAACCTGGAGACAGTTCCCTCCTCTACCAACAGGCTGACTTTTTTATCATTGGGATTTGCAAAGTGCTAGTGATGAAAAAGGCTGGGGGAGGGCTGCTGCCCTTGAACCAAGAAATGCTGGGTCAGATCACATGCCTTACGCTGCCCCCAGGGCCCAGGGTAGGGGGTTTCTCAGGGCCCATTTCTTTCAGCTGCCTGAGAGAAGCCCATAGGCCTTTAGCAGCCCCTAGAACTGCTGTGAATCTGCTTCCTTTGTTGGGGAGAAGAAGGTGAGGCCACTGGGGGGCAGCTGAGGCTGTGGTCTGCTGCACAGCTATTTGGCAGTGGCTTTTTCAGACACTCTTCTGTGGCCGGTGCCGTAACACCAAGAGCCAGCTTGGATCCACAGTGGTAGTGAGCCTCTAGGCTGGCGGACAATGGAAGGCTCCCTGGTACCGGGCATCAGCCGAGACTTTTTGTTTATTTGTTTTTTAAAGATTTTATTTTTTTATTTCAGAGAGAGAGGGCACAAGCATGAGGGGGGGCGTGGGGGCAGAGGGAGAAGCAGACTCCCCACTGAGCAGGGACCCCCCCCCCCCGGGATCGTGACCTGAGCTGAAGGCAGGTGCTTAACCAACTGAGCCACCCAGGCGCCCCAATGGCGTCTGTGTTTATGCAGCAACTTACATTCCCGGAAACCAGGGATCTCCAGGCACCAGTGGGGGTGGAGGTGCCCAGACTCAACTGTCCCTCATCCAGAGGCAACAGAAACAGACTCTTGTCAGAGCTGAGAGTGCCCGCTGCGGAGTGTGGCCCTCCGAGTCATATGCCCCCCCCGCACCCGGGGACCTCTCCAGGGACAGCCCACCCTGGAGAGCAGTGTGGGAATCTTGCATCTGCCCATCCCCCCCTAAAGAACAGCGTGCGCCCCATCATGGTAGTAATAACTGCTGTCTGTCGCAAGCTTGCTTTGGGATCAGGCACTGAGGTAGGCTTTTGAAATGAGCGGTTTCCTTTAAACCCCACCTTCGTCTGCATGGCAGGAAGTCCTATGCCCATTTTATAAATGAGAAAACTGAGGTTCCTTGGGGTTGAGGACCCTTCCCACGTTGACACAAGCACTCACCAAGCTAGGATCTGACCTCGGGGGTCTCTACGACTCTAACCGCAGTTCCTGAGCCGTCCCCCCGCCGCCCCACTGCCTCACACTCAACCTGCGGATCTGTCCCTTTCAACAGCCAGTCCGAGAGCCTTGATCAGATCCCCAACAATGTGGCCCACGCAACAGAGGGCAAAATGGCCCGTGTGTGTTGGAAAGGGAAGCGCCGCAGCAAAGCCCAGAAGAAGCGTAAGAAGAAGAGCTCGAAGTCCCTGGCGCAGGCCGGAGTGGCCTTGGCCAAACCCCTCCCCAGGACCCCAGAGCAGGAGACCTGCACAGTCCCCGTGCAGGTAAGAGTCACCACCACAGCCCAGACCCCAGGCTCCTGGGGCCGTCGGGATGCTGCCGGGGCCTTGGCACTGGGCCCGGGTCCTAACACCTGGCGTTCTCCTGCACAGGAGGATGAATCTCCACTAGGCCCCGCGTATGTTAGAAATGCCCTCCAGTTCACCAAGCCTCCAAAGGAGCCAGGCCTTGGCCGACTGTGTTTCAAGAAACTCGAGGAGGACCTGCGGCCGGCCCTGCCTCGCTCGGAACTCCACAAACTGATCAGCCCCTTGCAATGTCTAAATCATGTGTGGAAACTCCACCACCCGCAGGCCCTCGGCCCCCTGCCCCAGCCCGTGCACCCCTTCCCTTACAGCAGGCTGCCCCATCCCTTCCCATTCCATCCTCTCCAGCCCTGGAAACCTCACCCTTTAGAGTCCTTCTTCCTAGACAAACTGACTGGCATAGAGAGCCAGCAGCCCCTGGCTGGCCCTTACCTGAGCAAACTGGCCTGCGTGGACAGTCAGAAGCCGGTGCCTGGCCCCCACCTGGAGCCCGGCTGCCCATCCCGTGGCCCACGGGATAAGTTTTCTGTGGAGGAGTACCTGGTACACGCCCTGCAGGGCAGCGTGAGCTCCGGCCAGGCCCACAGCCTGGCCAGCCTGGCCAAGACCTGGTCGGCAGGGGGTTCGAAGCCCCGAAAGCCCAGCCCCGAGACTGAGGACAGCGAGGGGGTCCTGCTTACGGAGGTAAGCGAGCCCCCACACACCTGCACAGGTGCCACCCACTCTGGGGCTGAGATCGGCAGCTGGCAGTCAGGTGGGACCTGCTGAGGGAGGGGGGGTTGGGCAGCATCCCTGGAAACCTGCCACACCCACTCTCCACTTCTGCCCTTGGGGGCGGTGGTCTTCGCTCTTTATGGAAGTCACTCGTGCGCATGAGAACACGTCAGATAGTCAGATAGTAGGAAAGTGCGTAGCTTTGGCGAGAGGCAGTACCCCCCACTCCGCCTCCAGGTCACTCTTCAGGGTCTTTAGAGACTTCTATTTTGAGTTCTTCTGGTTGGTTAGCTCATTATTGCTTATGGCTGTTGTGCATGTGTGTGTGATGAATGACGCGTATTCTGAGAAACAGGAATTGGCAGTATCAACCACAGATGCTCGCTCCCCACCCCTGCTGTGAAAGACCAGGATTTTGCCCATCTGCGCTACCCCCTGCCCTGCCTTCTTCCCCCCCACCCCAGTTCTCTACTGGAGAGCTTTGTGACTCTTAAGTCATTTTACCAGACTTAAGTTTCTGGGGCTTATTCCATCCATCTTTGACACGATCCCTTGCCCCCTACCCCTCTTTGCAGTCCCTTCCCTTTCTTTTACCTTATAGCTCCTGAGCTGTATTTTTTCATTGTCAAGGTTGTTGACAGTTCCGTTTCTGTCCCACAACCACAAAGCCCGGGGAGAAGGATCTTTCATCACAAGGATCAACTAGACTTGGGCCACCCGCGAAGCTCTCCTTTGCCTTCACTTATTCCTGTAACCCGCTCTGGTCCTGCCCCTCCAGAGCCCTGCCTCAGACCCGCTGGGGTCTTTGGTGATAAGGGCTCCACCCGAGCAGGCGCACAAAGACTGCCGCCCAGAGCGCCTTCCTCGCGGTAACCTTTTGTCCCTCTGCTGCCCTGGCCACTGAAACGGGCCTCTCTCCTGCCAACCCCAGAAACTCAAGCCGGTGGATTATGAGTACCGAGAGGAGGTCCACTGGGCCACGCACCAGCCCTGTCTGGGCAGAGGCTCCTTCGGGGAGGTGCACAGGATGGAGGACAAGCAGACTGGCTTCCAGTGTGCCGTCAAAAAGGTACGCCAAAAAGGAAGAGGTATGCCCAGGCTCTGGGGGCTGCAGAGGGAAGCCAGGCAGGTGTCCCTGGTGTATTCCCTCTGCTTTCTTTCAAGGGCAATCCCAGGGCAGCCGTGGGTCTGACTTGTTAACGGAGCCTGGCTGTCGCTGGGCACCCTGGGGTCAGCTGGAACCAGAAGGGAGCAGTGTCAGTCACATGTCCCAGCCTGGGAGCTGCATTTGGTATGCATGTATGTCGGAGTGTGCAAGTGTGCACGCGTCCTGGGTCACTCCTGATGCCAGGGCCTTAGGGGCAAGTCCAAACCTGGAAGGCAGTTGGCTCATCATGTTGAGCTAAAACTCCTAAACCCCATACAGTGGGAGTGCTCACACCTGGGCCAGAAGGTAGTAACCGGAACAGTAGCCTGTACCTAACAGGTGCCTCTTGGATGAGGCTGGGCCCTGAGGAGTCAGATCTGAGTTAGGTGCAGGTTCTGCCTCCTGTTGGCAGGAATAAGAGATCCTGGGAAGTGGACATTATGAGGAAATGCGACTTACAGCAAGAGACCCAGGCTTGTCTGTCTCCAGAGTTCGGCTGTGAACCACTCTTTAGAAAGGGGGTGGGGGAGGAGGCTCATGGTCCTAGGATTTGATGCGAGCAGAGGTGTGAATCACCTCTCCGGCCCATTTCACCAGTAATAGACCTAGAGACCAGTGAGGGTCATGTGCCTTGCCTAAAGCCACACAGCTGGGCCTGGAACTGAGGCCTCCTTTGGTCAGGTGGCCCTGTCCAGACCCAGCATCAGCAGAACACAGACCTTGGTGTCGGGCCTGCTCTCCCTCAGAGGTCTTTTCTCCTGCCCCCACTCCCAGCTCACCTTGACTGGAAGCCACCTTGTTCCCCGCCCAAACTCAGCCTCGGAGCTATAGCGCCCAGGGCCACAGGAGGCAGAAATGAGACACATTTCCATGGGCCACGTTCTTGGCCCACGATGAAGGGAAATAAGCTAGTTCAGTGATGGATCTTGTTTTCAAGCGGGTTTTGTCAGGGACACTCTGATCCCCAAAAGGAAAGAGGGCCAAATAGCCAGCTCGGGCCCCATGCAGAGTTGTGGCTCTCAGCGGTGAGGACACACATCGGACGTGAATCACCTGGCTTCCTTGGCTCGTATGTGGCCTGGGATGCTCAAGTCTGAGAGTTTGGGCCACCAGGTGACAGGCCGAGAGGGGACTATCCGTAGGTATTACCCCAAACTTCAGAAATACTATGTCAAACAAGCAGGCTCCACCCCCGCCGCCTGCCCCTGGCCTGAGCCCGTGCTGGCAATGCTGAGCTCTTGCCCGCGTGGCTCATTCTCCTCCGCTGGAGGCCAAGGCTCCGTGCCTAACCTCCTTAGCCGCAGGTCCCCCCGCAGGCCATCAGAGAAGGCTCAGCTGTCCCTCCTGAGGGGTGGCTGGGAGGTGAGAGAGAGTGTGAAGTGTCCTGGAAACCCATGCCCAGTGCTGGGGAGAGCTTAGTCACTGGGCTGCTCAGCTGTTGCCCTGCTGAGGTTCTCGGAGTCCCAGGCAACAAGGTAAACAACCCTGATATAGTAGAACAGGACAGATACTCCATTTCTCACCTCCCCAAGGCAGGCAGAAAAGCTCCAACCACGACGAATGGGCTTCCAAGCGCCGGAGCTGCTGCCTAGGCCTGCTGGAGCTGGCCGCTCCCCCCCCCCCCCCCCGCCAAGACTTCAAGTGGGATGGCTCGTTGGGGGCCCACACAGCTGCAACAAGGCGGTCAGGGGGAGTCACGCAGGCACAGGCGCCCTTTAGGATTTTCAGCCGGAAGATCTGAAAAACGGTTCCTGGCTAAGAGGGCAGGGTTGGGGGAGGGAGCAGGGATCGGAGGTCAGGCTGCACAGGGGGTCGGAGCAAGTCTGAGTGCCCTCCCCTGTTCCCTGAGGAGGACCCAGCACGTGGTACAACAGCACTTCCTCGGTCCTCCTTCTAGAACATCAGTGGCCTCGGGTCAGATGCTGATCGGCCCTGAGTCCAGGGTTTAATGTAGGGGGTTTTGTTTTTTAAGGTTTTGTTTGATCTTTTAACTGCAAATAAACACAGGCTCATTAAAAGAATTCAGAGGATACCCCAAAACACAAGTCTCCTTGTTCCCCAGTCCATTCTCAGAGTACCTGCCCTTTGACTTTTTAGACTTGTTTTATATATATATATATATATATATATATACATACATAAAAACATGTAGTTTCTTTTTAAAAGATTTTATTTGAGAGAGAGCACAAGCAGGGGGAGGGGCAGTGAGTGAGAGAAGCAGACCCAGGGAGCCCAACACGGGGCTCGATCCCGGGACCCTGAGATCACGACCTGAGCTGAAGGCAGACGCCTGACTGAGCCACCCAGGCGCCCCATAAACATGTAGTTTCTTTTACTGAGATTGTATTCTAGAAGCTGTGCCCGGTTTTTCATGTAATAGTAGATCATGGACACATTTCCTTATTGGTACATATACATCTCTCTAGTGCTTTTTATCAGCCAATGTAGAAGTTCATATCCTAGTCAGTGGATGAATTTTATAGATTGCACGAACTCCTGAAACTTTATTCTGTGGTGTGGTTGTATGTGGTGTGTATGTACACACACATTTTGGTTGGGAAGTCTGTATCATGTGTCAGATTCTCAGAGGGCCCTGTGGCCCAAAGAGGATTAAGAACCATTTATTTAAGAACATCTGGCTCGAGCATGGAGTTCTGGGAGCCTCCTTTTGACTCTGCCACTGATCTGGGTTGGTGTGGCCTTGGCCAAATCCAGCCAGCTGTTACCAAGCACACTGTGCCAGGGGCTGGAGACAGAGTTGCAGAATTCACACGCCTGCCCCAAAGGAGCTCAGGTTGTAAGGGGGGGGTGGACATTTACGTAGAAGCAGCCATTAGCCAGGTACCTGAGTGAGGGCAGCCTGGCCATGTGTTGAGGAAGCAGAACTGGGTCTGAGGGGAGAATATGGCCATGGTAAAGAGGAAATAAGGGGGTGCCCTCTGTTCATTGGACTCCTATGTGCCCAGTACTGTGTTAGTTACTTTCACATATTTTATGTTCCTGAGATCTTTAAAAGAATATACAAAATTGTGACTATCCCTTTTTTGATGGATGAAGTAAAATGGATACAGATACTAAACAAGAGGGGAGAGTCTCAAGAAGGAAAAATCAATGCCCAGTGTCAGCAGGCAGGCAGTTAAGCCGAGGGAGGTGGCTTGTGGATTTGGCAGTTAGGGGATGGCTGACCACACTTCCCCCCCCCCCCCGGGGGGGGGCTCGCCCCTGAATGGAGGGGGGGGGGGGGGGGGGAAATGGTCTGGATATAAAAGCTCAGACTCCTGGAAAGGCCTTCAGTGAAGCAGGGTCGCTGGCAGCTCTCGAGTCAGCCTTCCCCAACCAAAATCCCAGCTGATACTGCCAGTGACCTTGGGTAAGTTACTTGCCCAGACTTCAGCTGCCTTGGCCAGCTGGATGAGGACAATGAGAGTGCGGCCCCACAGGCCCCTGTAAGATGCCAATACCAACGCCTACAAAGCACTTAGAACCGTGCCGGTGTGTTTTAAGCAAGCAGTAAATACTAGTTTGGGGGGTTTTTTAAAATTTATTTTAGAGAGTGTGCGCACGCACGCATGCACGTGTGAGGGGGTGGGCAGGAGGAGAGGGCGAGAGAAACCCAAGCAGACTTCCCACTGAGCACGGAGCTCGGGGCTCGATCCCACGACCCCGATGAGGACACTGAAGTCCAGGGAGGAGTGGTGGGCCAGCTGCTGCCCTGGGGAGGAAGGCCATGTGCGTTCTCCCCGCCCAGCTCCGTCGGGACTGCCCTTTCTGCTTGCTCTCCCTGGGGCTGGCACAGACTTTGAATGCACCTTGTGTTTGGAAGCGTCCCCTCTGACCCCCGTGTGTCTGGGTGAGAATGTTTTTTTACATTTTTTTTAAAGATTTCCATTTTTAAGTACTCTCTATACCCAATGTAGGGCTCGAACTTACAACCCTGAGATTAAGAGTCACACACTCTACCCACTGGGCCAGCCTGGCACCCCTGGGTGAGGTTTTTAACATTGTTTTAGGGATTTCTTCATAGTTAAAGCAGAGATTCTCAAGTGTTCTTCTTCGCAGCCCTTAGTGTCAGTAATTTTTCATGGCACCCCAGGCCAAAACAAGTACCTAAATGTTCCGTTTACTGAGTAAATTAGGCCACACAATAGTGTTTAGCCTAACAACGTGGTGATCATTTGAATAACAATGCGCATAAGTGGAAAGAAAATTTTTCTTCTGTTCTTAACCATAATTACTAATGGGATGTATGCCTCGTTGGGCACTGCACAATTCTCAAATTTTGAAATCCGACTGGACACCCTCACCTTCCTTTTCTGCTCCACATTATCCCCCCTAAAATACTTCTGTCACAGCCGCCTCCAGAAACCTAGCTCCATAAAGATCTGTGGAAAGACTGGAGCACGAGCTAATGCTGAAACTGAACTCTCTGGAGCTAGTAGTTTGCGTGATGTTCCACAGATCACTGCTTCCCTCCAACGCCAACACCTGCAGCGCCCCGCTGAGTCCTCTGGGGCATCCCAGAGTGCTTCGGCTGCAGCTCAGCCCAGGAGCCAGAGAGAGAAAGAAATTGGCTAGTCCAAGTCCTGTCGGCGAATTCCTTCCAGCCCAGGTTCAGAGCTGGAAACACTGACAAAGAGTCAAAGCTTATGCGAGTTGATTAACCAAACCAGATATTCTGTAACCAGAAGACATTTTCCACTGATAGGCAAAAGTCCAAAAGCCCAACAGCCCCACATCGGCAGAGCTCCTGCCAAGTCAGCGTGTCTCCGAGCAAAGCTCTGCCAGGTCCTGACTGATGTCGTCCAGGCTGGTTTGGTTGCCACTGGCGCCCCCTGGTGGTACCTCTCAAGGCTAACACGAGAACCAGCTGCGGCCAGAAAGGACGACATGTCTCTGTTAGGAATTCTAAGTGTTTAATAAGCAGCTCTTGCGTGAGCTGGAGGAAGTGGGCACCTAACATTTCCCAAGCACCCACAAGTTGCCAGGCTTGGTGCTGATTATCATCCCTCCAAGTCCTGTCACCACCGTTTATTTGCATATGGAAACAGAGCTTAGGGAAAGTCCTCTACCTTTGGAAATGGCCAAGCCAGAGTCTTGGTCTAGGATGTTTGTATCCCTGGCCTATTTCTTCCCACCATGCTATGCTGGTCCCCACACAAGGGAGTGTGTGGTCCCTTCGGGAAGGGGCCTTGGCTAAGCCACTCCCCCTGAGAAGCCTCTCTTAGGCCCAGATCCTGGGGAAACAGCCGCAAACAGAATAAACAAGCATTGCTCCGTCTACATGGACATTTTCATCCTCAGGGGAAAAGACAAATAATTCCGAGTTGAGAAACGTGCTGAGAAGGGTGCTGACAGAGCCAGGATCTTGGCTGCATCGGCCCTGGCTGCAGATAAGATGGAAACCCAGCCTCCGGGGAATAGATGTAGATGTTGATAAACAAAAGGTCCCACGTCCTAGAAGTGGCCCAGCCATTTGGGCCCGGGGGGGAGAAAAAGTTCTGTGTTTGGCAGATTTGAGGGTGGGCAGCATGCCAGGGGCCTGGATAAGGGTAGTAGTTTCTGTGTGATTCTAAGTGTTTCCACACACATCGGCAGTACAGAACTTTAAGCAAGTACGATAAGTTGAACGTGACCTACCCCCCCAGGGTACACAGTTTAGTCTCTGAGGGTCCAGTAGGCCCATCACGGCCCTGCCTGGCCTCAGAATGGACATGGGGAGCATCAGCAGTCTCCATGCAGGGAGCATCGAGGGTCCTGCCAGGATGCCAGGGAAGCAGCCTGGGCCCTCACCCTGACTCACGTGGGCCCTGCCAGGTGCGCATTGAAGTGTTTCGGGCAGAAGAGTTGATGGCATGTGCGGGACTGACCTCACCCAGGATCGTCCCTTTGTATGGAGCTGTGAAGGAGGGTCCTTGGGTCAACATCTTCATGGAACTGCTGGAAGGTAAGGAGCCAGGTGCCACTCTTTCCCCTTCACGGATCAGAGCCAAGATTTGGGGTTTCCCCGAGTCTTTCCCAGCTTGACCTTGGTCCCCAGTTATCCCATTTTAACCTCTTGACCCTGTGACACTGGCAGGAAAGGCCTACTTTCCAACCACCTACTGTCTGAAGGCCTTTGCCCTTGGCCTGCCTGCAGGCCTGGAAATGCCCCATGTAAAGACTGGCCATTGGTCTCCTAGGTGGCTCGCTAGGCCAGCTCATAAAGCAGAAGGGCTGTCTGCCAGAGGACCGGGCCCTTTACTACCTAGGCCAGGCTCTGGAAGGACTGGAATACCTCCACACCCGAAGGATTCTGCACGGAGATATCAAAGGTGAGGCTCACGCCCCAACAGCCCTGGTCCCCAGTGGGCTCCTTCCTTACCTCATCCTGCCTGCTTTCCTCCCAGATCCTTCTGGGCCTGCCTGGCCATCCCCCGTGGCAGGGCCTGAGTCAGGCTGACTAGGCTGTGCCGGTGGGAAGGGGGCGTGTGTTTCCCAAGCCCTCAGCTTGACACCATAGTTGCCAGTGGGCAGTGCTGCCCACACAGCGTCTACACACCGACGACCACTGGGGGAGGGTGGGGACAGCAGAGCTGAGTGGCAGCGTCCCAGGAGGAAACTCTGTCCCTACTGTACCTCCAAGATCGGCCTGCTGCCTGCCTCTAGCCTGAACCGATAAGGCTCTCGCCTTCCTCATGACTAATGAAACCCACGTAGGGTCAGCCAGAAACTGCCTCACTGGAGGCCCAGATGGGGCTGGGGCCTGAAGTGACTCACCTGTTCCTCTTCTTCTCTGGGGTGGCCCGGCAGCTGACAATGTGCTCCTGTCCAGCGATGGGAGCCGTGCAGCCCTCTGTGACTTCGGCCATGCTGTGTGCCTTCAACCCGATGGCCTGGGCAAGTCATTGGTCACGGGTAAGCCCCGCCCCCCCACCGCCCTCCCCAGAATGATCATCCCCAGCCTTGACTCAGCATTAGCCGCATGTCTTCTCCCAGGCTTTCCATAACAGCAGTCCGAGACGTGAGCACTTTTTGTCCACCATTATATTTCAGCCCCTCAGCGACTCTAGAAAGCTTCTCTTATGCTTAAACATAGGAGCAAGGATCAGATGCTCACGTTTCTGAGATTCCTGCTACACAGAAGAGGGAACAGAAAGGCTGGCTGCCTTGTCCCAGGTCTTCTGCCGCGGAGCTCCCACGGCTCCAGCCCTCTTGTGCGGCCTTTTCTGGATAGCTGTGCTCCCAGCCTGTGGCCTCAGCCCTCCCGGGCCTCTGAGCAGTTTCTGGAAGCACAACAGGAGGGCTGACCGAGGGGCCTAGGCTCTGTAGCTGGAGAAATGTTTGTTTTTAACTTAACAGTTTTTTGATTATTAAAATAATCCACATCCATTGTAAAATATTTGGCAACTACAGAGTTACGTGGTTTAGAAGGGAAAAGGACCCTCCCCGCTCCTCTTGCCCAGAGAGACAATCATGAACGTTTTAAGTAATTCCTTCCACATCGTCTTTTCTTTGTGTTTTTTTTTTTAACCCTGTACGCAGTTAAGGCGGATATAACCCAATTTTGTGCCCTGCTTTTTTCATTTATAGCATTAAGCATCAAATTATTTCTTCTTGACCAAAAGAAAAACAGTCTTTTAGAAGTGATTCTGTTACTAAAGACTGTGTTGGTAATTCTGAAGATGTAAACTGAAGACGGACACCTGCCCGTCACTTTAAAATAACTACTGGGTTTTTTTCTTATTACAAGAATAATTTCTAAAATCTTTTGGAGAAAGTAGAACTGAGCAGAAATAAAAAACACAAGTCACCAGGGCAGAGGGGGTGGGGATCTTCACATCTGGTATTGATCCTTCTAGTCTCCTATGCATTGAAGTTTGTGGGGTTTTTTTTTTTCTTCACTCACCAAAATTTCAGAAACATCAAACCATTAATTAGTCTCCTACAACCTACTTTTCAATGTTCAGGCCCCTCCCCATTTTTAAAAAGTATTCTAAGGATTGGGTCCAAAGGGCCGAGCCCCTATTTTGGGTGATACATTCTTTATACTAGTTCCCAGCAGAGCCCCTGATTTAGCTCGTCCCCAGCAAGTTTGATCTGGAAGCTTCCTCTCTATTCGAGGTACTTTAACAGAGACAAATTCCAGGTATTTCAGGAATCGACTGGGGGCTGGGGGTGGGGGTTATTGCCAAGGCTCTTGCCCGTCAGAGTTCACAGTTGGCTTTTCGGTCTCACGCCACCTTCTCAGGGGACTACATCCCCGGCACAGAGACCCACATGGCCCCAGAGGTGGTGATGGGCAAGCCCTGTGATGCCAAGGTGGACATCTGGAGCAGCTGTTGCATGATGCTCCACATGCTCAACGGCTGCCACCCTTGGACCCAGTACTTCAGGGGGCCACTCTGCCTCAAGGTCAGTGACAGCGCCTGGGATGGCTCGGAGGGGAGCCAGCAGGGCCTCGGGGCCCAGGCTGCAGGCTTGAAGTGACCCCCGTTTTGGCTGCTCTTCGGTGGCAGATGGAGCGGGAAGAGGCCTCATCATAAATGTGGGATCATGACTAAAATACTCGCCACCCAAATCTACAGGCCCCAGGGGAGATCCTAAGGGAGGGATCTCCTTGAGTTCACGGCAGGTCAGGGCTCTCTTCCACTCGTACCCTGGGCCACCTCCGCCTGCCTCCTGACAGGTTGAGCCTGGAGGTCCTGGGTGCACCTTGCCACCTTGCCCGGTGTCTGCCTGGCCCCTTTCTTCCCTTTCCTTGGAAAAGTCCCATCCCTCTCCGGTCTTTGTGGCCGACCCCAGCATGGCAGGGCAGGGGAAAGTGGGGAGAAGAGCAAGAACAGAAAGTTGGTGCTGGGGAATGAGGGGGGACAGGCCACACGTGTCACCTTCTGACCCACAGATCGCCAGCGAGCCTCCACCTGTGAGGGAGATCCCACCCTCCTGTGCCCCGCTCACCGCCCAGGCCATCCAGGAGGGGCTGAGGAAAGAGCCCGGCCGCCGTGCGTCTGCGGTGGAGCTGGGGGGAAAGGTCAGCCTGGCTCTGCAGCACGGTAAGAGCCCCCCACGGGCCGTAGGGGCTGGAGAGGCGACAGCGTGGTGCAGTGGTCAAGGGCAAGGTACTCGACCTCTCAGAGCCTTGGCGTCCCCATCTAGAGCATGGCGATGAAACCCGCCGTGGGCTTGTTAGAAGACCGGTGGTGTGAGAGATGCTTTGTACTGTGCCTCGAAGCTCAGTCGATGGGGGACAGGGACTACAACATTAAAGGGGGGCTCCAGGGGCGCCGGGGTGGCTCAGTCATTAAGTGTCTGCCTTCGGCTCAGGTCATGGTCCCGGGGTCCTGGGATCGAGCCCCACATCCGGCTCCCTGCTCGGCGGGAAGCCTGCTTCTCCCTCTGACCCTACCCCTGCTTGTGTTTCCTCTCTCGCTGTGTCTCTCTGTCAAATAAATAAATAAAATCGAAAATAAATAAATAAGTAAATAAAGGGGGGCTCAAGCTCAGTAGTAATCAGCGAATGTGACATAAAGCCAGGTAGCACTTACCGGCCGCTAAGTGAGAAAAGGTAGAAAGTTAGTAACACTAAGTGGTGGAAGGATGTGGGGCAGTGGCCCTTAGCTCTGCCGGAGGGCACCTCGCAGCACCCGCAGACATCTGCACACCTGTGGGAGGGGCGTAGGGTACAGTGGCGCGTCTCCTCCCGGAAGAGTGGAGGGGCCAAAGGCAGGGGTGGCGCTGGCTGTGTCCCATGGAGCACCAGGAGGCAGTGAAAGCAAGCCAGTGTTCCCAAAGCAGCCCAGCCGGATTTTCAAACCATAGTGCCGGGTAAATGGACAGAGCAAGGCCTAGAAAACGATGCCTTATTTGTAAATTAAATACTGATAAATAAAAACAGCACAGGGGCGCCTGGGTGGCTCAGTCGTTAAGCGTCTGCCTTCGGCTCAGGTCATGATCCCAGGGTCCTGGGATCGAGTCCCGCATCGGGCTCCCTGCTCTGCGGGAAGCCTGCTTCTCCCTCTCCCACTCCCCCTGCTTGTGTTCCCTCTCTCGCTGTGGCTCTCTCTGTCAAATAAATAAAATCTTTAAAAAAACAAAACAAAACAGCACACACTTTGCAAAAATATGAACGAACCCAAGTGCCACATCAAACACTAGAATGTCACCGGGAGGTGGGCAGGGGAAAGGCAGTGGTTATGGGAGTCAGAGGGGAATAAATAAAACAGGAGAGAGACCTTGCATGCCCCCCCACAAACACAGATGAACTGACCCCACACTCCAGAGCAATGGCGCCCTCGGGAAGCACTGAGTGGGCGGGGGGGCGGCGGGATGGGGCGGGGGGGGGTAGGAGAGATGGCGGGGCGGGAGGGGGAGGTCAAGGAGGCCAGTTTACTTGGGAACTCGAAGTTGCTGTGACCTCAGGGCTCTTTTTAAATCTTCTCTTTACTAGTGACAGAATCCTTCACTGGAGCCATTTCTGTCATTTTTAAATTTGCGATTGTTACCTAGAAGGAAGATGGAATAAACAGATAGACCGTCGTGTTCCCATTGTAGAGGGCCATCTTCTGGAAGAGGCCTCCTCCAAGACCACCTGGCGCCCTCCTAAATTGGGTCCCTTAGTGGGACAAGAGTCCTCCCTCACTGCTTACTCCCAGCCCTCTGCTCAGGAAGGACTACGTGGCCTGGCCCAGAGCCTGGGGCCCGCTCCCCCTCACCGAGCGTGCTCTCTTTTGTAGTGGGCGGTCTGCGGAGCCCCTGGAGGGGAGAGTACAAAGAGCCGAGACAGCCGCCGCCACACCCAGCCCAGGCACCGGCCAGCCAGGGCCACTCTCACCGGACCCTGCCTGTCCAGCCGAGGGAGCTCTCTCCTGGGGCCCCGGGGCCCCAGCCAGCTGTGGACACGACAGGCGGGGCCCCTCAGCTCCAACCTCCACTACCCCCAGAGCCCCCAGAGCGGAACAAATCTCCGAGCCTGAACTGGGGCAAGGAGGAGTGTGGGCCATGGGAGCCATTGCCTCTGTCCTCCCTGGACGCGACCCCTGCCAAGCATCCCGGCTCGGCCGAGCGGAAGGCGACCGTCCCTGAGCAGGAGCTGCAGCAGCTGGAAATAGGTACGGACAGCCCCAGCCGGGGCTCCTGGGGCCCTGGGCACGCGGCCCGGCCGCTCCCACTCTTCCACGGCCGTCCTCTGCCTCTTCTCTGCAGAACTGTTTCTGAACAGCCTGTCCCAGCCCTTCTCGCTGGAGGAGCAGGAGCAGATTCTCTCGTGCCTCAGCATCGACAGCCTCTCTCTGTCGGACGACAGTGAGAAGGTAAGCTGGTGAGCGGGCTGAGTGCAAGTGGTGGTAAAGGCAGGCTGATGGGAGTCACCCCTTCCTTTCGGAAGGGCTCCCCACCAGGGCAGGGGGCGGTAGCTTCTCAGGAGGAGGCCATCTGTCTTCAGCACACCTGGGAATTGGGGAAGGGTTTGGCTACTAGGGATAGTGGGAAGAAGATGTGGGCTTGGATCCCCCTAGAAATACTCCTCACCTCAGCCCCCTGCTTAGCCCCAAAAGTGCCCAGGAGAGCCACACTCCAGCCCAGGACGGGAGCAGTGCCTCACCCCAGGGGAGGGCCCTGTGCCCCAAATCCAGCCAAGGCCAGAGATGGGCCCCCTGAGCCCAGGGGGCCTGAGTCGCACCCGCTCTCATTTCAGAACCCGTCAAAGGCCTCTCAGAGCTCACGGGACACCCTGAGTTCCGGCGTGCATTCGTGGGGCAGCCAGGCAGAGGCTCACAGCTCCAGCTGGAACATGGTGCTGGCCCGGGGGCGGCCCACCGACACGCCGAGCTATTTCAATGGTACAGCCCAGCACTTGCCTGCTCAGCGGTCCCCACAGAACTTGATCCGCCTGGGATTAGGGAGCCTGAGGCAGTTTAGGTCCCCCTTCCCCTGGTGGGGGCCTGGGGTCGGGGGGAGGCACCTGGTGCCCAGACTGGAGCTACCTGGCCATTAAGTCGGTTTAGAGCGGAGGCCCTGATTGCCCAAGAGCTTTCCCTGGTGGGGCAGTGAAGGACCATTGCCCCTCATGGGCTTCTGATGGAGTTCCAGGAGGCCGCTCACTTGGGGCACAGAGCAGTCTCTCCTGGCCTGGAGTCAAGAAATAATGTCTCCGGCAGGGAAAAGGAGGAACAAGATAAGAACTCAGCAGCAAGTTTGCTGGGATCCTCCTCTGGGATTTCAAGTCCTAAGATGAGATGTTTTCAAGCATGGCTGTATAGGTTGCATTGTGATTTTGATCAAGGGTTTCATCGGCTTACTGTTCCCTGGCTCTTCCCAGCGCCAGTGTGACACATGGCCTCAAGCGCCCATGGCCTGGCCGACGGGCTGCTCCAACTCAGAGAACATGACAGCCTGAGTTGTCCACAAGCTAATTTAAGAGTCTCCGTTTCCACTTCCATTCTGCTTTGTGTGCAAACTGGAATACTAGTTCCCCAAAAGAGCCAACCTTAGCTCTTTGCGTCGTGTAAGCTGAATTCTAGGGGTTGACAGAAAATTACCAGGAAGAGCCAGCAGGTGTTTGCCATTAGGGCCACTCCAGCCTAAGCGTCATGTCAGAATCCTCACGGTTGTCCCGCGTCCCTCTGCATGGGGCTCCTTAGGGACCCAGCGGCCACTCCACTGACAGTTCCCGCCTGCCTTCTAGGTGTGAAAATCCAGATACAGTCTCTCAATGGCGAACACCTGCACATCCGGGAGTTTCACCGGGTCAAGGTGGGGGACATCGCAACTGGCATCAGCAGCCAGGTAAGGGGGCAGGTATGCACTTACTTAGAGGCAGAGTCCCGGAAACCAGTGTACCTGGCCCAGCCCTCCAGGAGGAAGGCTTTTCCTTCCTCAGGACCGACCCTTGGGCCAGGTGAGACTCTCCGAGTCCTCCAGGACTCAAGGCAAGAGTAGGCCTTCAGGACTGCCTGCTTGGCTGGAGGGAGACCTCAGCCTGGCACTTCTCGGCGGCCCCTGAGCCCCGTGCCACAGTCTCAGGCCCGCTGGTTTGCTCTGCCCCCAGATCCCGGCCGCAGCCTTCAGCTTGGTGACCAAGGATGGGCAGCCCGTGCGCTATGACATGGAGGTGCCGGACTCGGGCATCGACCTGCAGTGCACCCTGGCCCCTGACGGCAGCTTTGCCTGGAGCTGGCGGGTCAAGCATGGCCAGCTGGAGAACAGGCCCTGAGCCAGCCTTCCACCTCTGACTCCACTCTGCCAGAGGCGGCCTGCCTTCTTGGTGCTCGGTGCCGCCCCTGGCACCCAGGCTCAGCCTGCTCCCAGGGGTCTGCCACCCCCTGGCTCAGCGATGCGACTAGGGGCAGGCAGAATGCCTCCCAGGACGTCCCGTGTCCCGCCTGACCCCGCCGGGAGAGCACCCTGTGCCCACATGAGGAGGAGGAGGAGGAGGCAGGCAGGAGGCCTCTTCCCGTCCATGGGGAACGAACGAAAAGGGTCTTCTCTGCCCTGGTCCCCGTGAGCTGGCCTGACCTGTTTGCATCAGTGGCCCCTTGCTGGCCGGCGGGAGCGTAGCTTCTGGCCTGGGTCAGGGAGGGGTGGGCGAGTCCCTCGGCCTCTGAGCAGGTGGAAGGGTGTCGAGTGTCTGAGGACCCACACCCAGGTCCAGTACAGGAGCAGGGCAGCAGCTGTACCCACCCTCGGGTGAACGGGGCACCCTCTGACCCCCTTGCGTGGCCACTGAAGCCCCTTTTCGATCTAGGAACTTTCTTGACAGAGTCAGGGAGGGAGCCACGCCTGACGCTGGGAAGTCTCCCTGGGAGACCAGGGCACACCGTCAGGGCGTAGCAACACGGGTCCGGAGCTGGACTCAGCTTCCGCCAAGGACCACAGGTGTCTAAGTGAAATGGTTCTCAGTCCCCAAGCACGTGTCCCTTTGCTGCTGGCCACCAGTCTTCCCCAGAGCAGCAGGCCCCGAGCCGCGGCTGCAGACCCAGAACGGCCCATGACTCACTGGCCATCAGCCCTCTCGTCTGTGGAAGGGAAGGGTGGCGGGAGCTGGCCCAACCCGAGCAGTTTGCGGATGGGCTGTGATCCGTGTGCAAAAAAGCAGCAGGTGCAGGCGCTCCTGTCTCCCCCGGCCACGGCTTTAGACATCAGGCGCACCAGCTTCCTGAGACACAGCCCAGGCCTCACACTCACACTGGCCCTGCCCAGCCCCTCGCCTCAGGGGGCACTGCCAACCGCACTTTGCACTCTGATGACCTCAAAGCACTTTCATGGCTGCCCTCCAGGAGGGCAGGTCAGTGGCTCTGCATGCGCATAAGCAGGCCAGGAGATGGGGTGTGAAGGCATTCAAGTCTTGACCTGTCTCCACGCGCATGACCCCTCAAACCTCCGCATTTCTTTAAGATGAGCCCCCCCCACAACCATACCCCATTGCCCCTTCTTCTTCAATGGGGGGGCTGATCAGGGCCCATGTAGCATTAATCAACTGTGAATCCTTGTGTGGGGGCCTGCTAGCCTCCTCTCCTGGAGGTGAGGGGTGTCCCCCTGAGAGTCCTCCTCGGGAGAAGCTCATCCCGGTGTCTTGCCAAGGTGGCCTCTGTCCAGCTATCCACATCGAGCCATTCTGCTCCCCAGGGAGAGACCCCCCCCCCGGCCCCCAGCACGTGAAGAGCTGCAGCCTTGTACTGCAGAGTTCGGGTGGTACTCTTTGTAAGCAATAAAGTGTGGGGTGATGACAAATGTGTTAGGCCATGGCTGTCCCCACTCTCGCCTGCCTGCTTACAGAACCTCAGATCCTAACAGCTGCCTCCCTTTGCCTTCTTGGGGTTTTCTCACAGCTGCCATTGATTTTGGACAAGGAATGTTTCCACCCCTTGAGTGAGGTCACTTTTCCCACCACCCCTCCCAGTGGGCACTTCCAGTCCTACTTTTGGCCTATCCATTCAGACCAGTTAGGCAAGATGCCCCACCCAGTGGCCATAGCGAAGTTCCTGGCCAAACACTGCAGGCTGAGGAGGAGAGGTCAACACACCCCAGGCAGTGGCCTGACGTGGAGAGGTGAGGGCGCACCAGGAGCCCCAAACAAAGACTGCCCTACCCTCTCCTGTCCCTGAGGCCTGGCTTCCAGGGAACAGAACTGGGAGCAGGACTGAGTGAGCAGAGATGACTTTGCAGGAGTGGGCTCCTGGGCCTTTCCAGGACAGGGGCCCACCTGAAGATGGATGCCACTGACACACAGGGGGTGGGGGGCCTTGTCCCATCTGGCTCCACACCCCCTGAAGCCTTGCTCAAGTAGCTATGTGTGTGTGCATGGGCACACAATGCAGACTTTGGGGTACAGGACGCAGGTTCAGCAGCTTCCTGGAGGGGTCCTGCACCCCAGAAAGGGGCAGGTGCAAAGGCCATCCAAGCTTACCGGAGGTGGCTCCCTCTGGGCCTGCGGGGAAGAGTGCTCAGGGTGGCGCAGTCTCCGGAGGACACCCCCCAACGGCCGCCCCGCCCACGCGCCGGGAATCCTGAGCGTTTTTCCGCCTCCGTCCGTGGGGTCCGGGCAGGGACGTCACAGAGGCGGCGACATCACAGGCGCAGGCGCCCCCAGCATCTCCAGCGCCCCCCACAGCGCCCAACCAAAGAGCGCACTGGAGGCGGAGGGGCAGCAGCGACCAGCCCGCTCCCCGCCTCCCCGACAGAGCTTCGGTCAGCATGGGGGTGACAGGTGGGAGCGGGCTGGCGCGCGGTGGGGCGGGGCGCCGAGGAATGGGCGGGGCCGGGCGGGGCGGGGAAATCAGCCCGGGGCCCCACCCCCTGCTCCCGGAGCCCGGGGCGCCTGGAAGGAAGGTCGACCCCAGCCGACCGACCCCTCTACCCGAGACCACCGCGCCCAGCCTGGGCCCTGCGCGGTGCACAAGCTTGTGTGCACGGGCCCACATGCACACCTTGGAGTAAAGGCTGCAGAGTCAGCCGACTCTTGGAGGGGTTCTGGGCACACGGAAGGAACAGCGGCCTTGTGCTCAGGAAACGACTCATGAATTGTCCCAAACTGCTAATAACCCCAAAATCCCCTTCAGTTATTCCTGGTTGATGATTAGAGCCTTTGCAGAGAGAAGCGGTCGGCTTCCACAAATACTGCCTGAGCGCCTCCTTTGTCCTTTGCCCTCTGCTCTGTAGCAATGGGCAAAGCTGTTTGCCCCTTAGGTTTCCACTGAAATAGGGGCTTTCTTCTCGGGATCTTCTCTCCCAGGAGGACGTGGGCCAGCATTAAAAATATGCCAAGAACCAACAACCAGAGAACAGCTTTTCCCTTTCTGAAACTCGTGGGGTAACAAACTGATGCAGATACCTTAAATCACTCCTGTGACCTTTGTTGTACCCCCTTCAGCTCTTAACTCTTGTGCTAGGCCCTGAGTCTAATGAGTTAACAAAAAATTAAAATGTGGATAGGACAGCTAAGTGTGTCACAGAGAAGATGACACTGGAGAGGTGGGCTGGCCTATCAGGGATGAGTAGGATTTTGCCGGAAGAAAGACTGCCTGGGTATCTGAAATAGCAAGTGCAAAGGGACTGAGGCACAAAAGGGCCTGCTGTGCTCCGGGGGAGCTTGGGCTTGGAGCAAGGAGGGAGCTAGATACCAGGAGATGCAACAAGAGAGCAGAAGCCACTCTCCAGTCTGGATGTGACCAGAGGCGGGTGTGATGCAACAGGCTCACTCTGGGGTCATTACGTAGCCCAAGTTGGAGGGAAATTTGGTTGTAGTGGTCCAGCTAGATGCCTAAAGAGATTTCAAACAACCCAGCAGTTAGCATCTTGGGGTTTGGAGCCAGTCAGTCCTGGGTTCCAGTCATGGCACTTCTCTTAACGGATGTGTGACCTGTGCAGTTTCCTCGTCTGTGAGAGCAGAGTCATGACCACTTGGGCATAGGGTGGTGAAGAGGATGTAATGGGAAGCACTCAGCGTGGAGTGCCGGCAGGTGATCAGTCCTAGGTTTGTACTGATTTTGGTGTTGGGAGATGAGAAGTAGTGGGGGTGGAGAAAGGGACCTGCACAAGGTCAACATCAGAGGTAGGGAGGTCAGAAGCTGGGGAACTGAGAAGGGGTCACAAGTAACCCAGGTTTCAATTTGGGTGATAGAATGGAGGATTATCAGAGAGGGGGAGATTCCAGGGCAGAGGGGGTGATCAAGACATGAGTGATTGGGAAGGACGATGGATCAGACATGCAAACTCTGTTGGCTACACTAGAGTCTAGACATGGAGGGTGTGAACTTGAGGTGAAAGATGGAGGACGAGCCGTGTGGTTTGGTGGGGTGTTCATTTCTTTGCGCAGACTTTTGCTGAGCATCCACCTTGCAGACTCTGTGTGCAGGGGATCAGAGATTCAAAGTGGGAAGCCCACACAGTCTGCCCACCTTGCATTAAGGGTCAGCAAGAGTCCTGTGCTCAGAGGTCTGCAGGGACTGGGCTGGGGCAACTGGAGGAGATGCCACAGGGTAGAATCCCGAAGGTCTCCAGGAAGAAGTGAGCACTGAGCATCATCACAATAGAAAACAAGGACATTTCAGAGATAGGAGACATCAAAGGCTCTGACAAGGGAGAGATCCCCTGAGGGATAAATGGGCAATCAGTGACTGGAGTTTGAGTCTAGACCTCAGGAGAAGTGGGAATAAGAAATAGAGATTAGAGGATCTTCTGTGGTCCCAGCCACAGGCTTGGAAACCCCAAGAAGGCAGAAACCGTGTGTTCGTCACTGTGTCCCCTAGAACAATGCCTGGCCCTTAGGGGTTCAACATTTAATTTTATCAAAGAAATATATGCATATGATTAAATAGCTCTGAAGAGCTGATTCAGTGATGAAAAGCAAGTGTCTCCCATAGAACACCCCCAGTCTCACTCCTCAGAGCAGCCACATTGTTCCATTAGAACTATTTTTCTGCCTAATTACCTTCTTATCTTTCTACAAGCCCACGGACTCTTTCTTGGTTTATCAGTTTTAGACATTATCACCTTCCTGCTCTAATGGAGCCGTCCTCCCAACATCATTTTTAGATCTGCTGATGCCTTTGTAAGTTTAATATATTTATGTCTTTATTTTTCATCACTTTAGATAATATCTTTTGATACCACACATAGTAAGATGAAGTTTTTAGTGCCCCTACTCTTTCCTTTAGCTTTCTTCCCTCCCTCGCACCTCCCAACAATGCTAACTTGTATTTTTATTTTTTAAATATCAAGGTTGGTAACATTTACATTGTCCTATAACCACAAATATATTTTCCAATTTTTATTTATATGTTGATTCTGAAAGTTGAAAACTGGACTTAACATTATTGTGATTCATAACTACTGTTCACTGCAGAACCAAGAAATGTATCACAGTTACCTTTTCTTTCTCATACAGCTTTTTGTTTTTCCCGGAGTTTCTAGTTGCCTTTCCCTTATATTCTTTGGTTTTATCATAGTCTTAGTTTTCATCAACCTCTACATCTAATCAACTATTTTATCAGATTTTCTTTATTTCAGAAATCTACTGCCCAGAACCCTTCATCTTCTTGCCTCTACACAGTTAAAATCCTGGGACTTAGTTGCTTTCCTGAGGTGGACCACTCTTTCCTTTCTGGCTCTCTTGTTTTACACCTTTATTTTGTTTTAGAACATCCTCAAATAACTTCCTTCAAAAAAGAGGAAGTAAATTTCCTGAGTCCTTCCATGTCTGAAATGATAGTTTGGCTGGATATAAACCTACAGGTTAAAAAACATTTTCCTCAGAATTTTAAAGGCAGCCATTGTTGCTAACACTGCTGCCAGTATAATCGATTCCCCTCCCCTTGTAGGTGACTGGTTTTTCCACTTTAGAAGCATTTAAGAATTCTTTGTTCCTGGTGCAGTGAACTTTTACAGCAAGGATATTTTGACATCCATAGTGCGGGGCTTTCGGTGAACACTTTTAAGCCAATGACATCATCATTCAGCTCGTGAAAACTGTTCTCGTTCCTTTTCCATGTTCTCTATTCTTTCTAGATCCCCTTTCTGTAACCCAGAACTGGACTGCCTTTTGATCATTTTCTCTCACATTGTCTTGATATTTTGGTTCTACTTTCTGGGAAGATTTTCTTTTATTTTCCAAGCCTTTTTGCCAAAAGTTCTTTCTTTTCTTAATTTTTCAAAAAGCATCCTGTTCTTGCTTTTTGGATGCAATATATAGTTGAATATCTACATCTCAGAATCTCAAGATTTTAGAGTATTTTTAAAGCTCCTTTCTGTTTCCCAAATAACCTCTGGTATTCTAGAGTCATCTTTTCTCTTGGTCTGTAAACTGCAGGTGGGTAGTTTCCTCAAATGTCTAGTCATGCTAGGCTATTCATGTTCAAGAGTGAAATCATAAAAAGCTGACTGGGAATCTGTGACTGCAGGACTGATTCCCTGGCAGATGTCACTTTAGGATGATGAGGCAGGAAACAGACATATCTCTGTCTGGTTCAAGAAGATGAACAAAATTGACAAATCTCTAGCCAAACTGAACAGGACAAAAAGAAGACAAAAATTACCAATATGAGAAATGGAAGAGGTGGCATCACTACAGAATCTACAGATATGAAAAGGATAATAAAGAATATTATGAACACCTTATGCCAATAAATTTGCCAACTTAGATAAAATGGACAAGGAAACTACAGGCTGAGGTTCACACACTTCACCTGTGAATTCTGCCAAACATAAGGAAGAAATTATGCCAATTTTATGCAAACTCAGGAAACTGAAGAGAGAATACTTCCCAACTCATTCTATGAGGCCAACATTATTCTAATATCAAAACCTGATGAAGACAATGTAAGAAAATTATACACCAATATACTTTATGAACCTCATGTGAGATTTCTTTCAAAAAGTTAGCAAATCAAATTCAACAATGTGTAAAATAATACATTATGACCAGATGAGATTTATCTCAGGGATGTAAGATTGATTTTAACATTCAAAAATTAATTTATTTCACCATAAACAGAATATAAGAGAATTGTTAACAGAATAATATATAACATTGTTCATGTTATACATAACATACAATATATTAACAGAATATAAAAGAAAAACAAGGGCACCCGGCTGGCTCAGTCAGAAGAGCATATGACTCTTGATCTCAGGGTCATGAGTTCTAGCCCCACATTGGGTGGAGAGATTACTAAAACACAAAAGAATATAAAAGAAAAACCATATAATCATCTCAACAAATGCAGAAAAAGCATCAGACAGAATCTAACATCTCTTCCTAACTAAAAACTAAGTGAACTGAGGGGCACCTGGGTGGCTCAGTTGGTTAAGTTTCTGACTCGATTTCAGCTCAGGTTATGATCTCAGGGTTGTGGGATCGAGCACCATATTGGGCTCCGCACTGAGCGTGGAGTCGGCTTAGGATTCTCTCCCTCCTGTCCCTCCCCCATCTTTTGCACATACATGTGCTCTCTCTCTAAAAAATAATCTGTAAAAACTGAGTGAACTAGGAATAGAAGGTAACTTTGCTCAACGTGATAAAGGTCATCTATGAGGAAAAACTACAGCTAACATCATACTTAATGGTGAAATACTGAATGCTTCCTCCCTAAGGTCAGGAACAAAGCAAGGATGTCTCAATTCTATTCAGCATTGTATTAAACATTGTTCTCAGTAAAGCAGAAAAAGGAAATAAGAGACATCCAGTTTGGAAAGGAAGAAGTAAAACTGTCTTGAGTCACACACATACTTTTTTAAAATAGTGTAAGTAATCTCTACACCCAGCATGGGACTTGAACCCCACAACCCCGAGATCAAGAGTCTCGTGCTCTACCGATTGAGTCATCCAGGCGCCCCTAGTCACACCATCGTTGTTTATGTAGAGAACCTTACGGAATCTACAAACAAAACAAAACAAAACAAAAAACTAGAATTGATAGGATTTTAGGATGGTTACAGGATATACATTTCTATACACTAGCAACCAGCAGTTGGAAATTGTAATTATTTCACATATTATAGAATGTCACCTGAATCCCTAATAGAACATTCCCAAGTTGGGCACAGAGGTCCCAAGTTGAGTCAACCTCAGACTTTTGCTTCCAACCCCCAGTGCCGCTATGAGGTTCACACCATAACACTTTCTCTTCCCATCCACACACTGTTGCTGTTCATGGAAGGGTTTAGGCTATGGGTGTTGATTAGATTGTCTAGGGAAATTTTGCAAAGCGTGCAAAGGAAGGCTCTGAGGCAAGGGGCCTGGATAAAAGCAGCACTGGGAGTAGCTGGAGTTGCAAATGAAGAGAGACATGAAGGAAGCCAACGGAACATGGCAGTCAAGTTGGTGGAAGATTCCAGAGACCACCGAGCTAGCTCTTGGGAGCCTGTCCCTGGTAGCGCACTCCTAGCCCGGCCATGTGGCTGATCCAAGATGCCCAGGCCCAAGAGGAACATGGATGTGCCCAAATCCCAAATGCAGAAACAGCCTCTACATCTCTAGAAAGAGGCCATGGCACACTCCGATCCTTTGGATATAATCCTGGGAGCAATTCTTAGCCAGAGCCAAGGCCATTATTTCCTGCCACACTCTAGGTTCAGGGGGATCTGGCTTTCCCACTGCCATGACGGCTCCACCATCAATCCCCATCTACCACCCTGGGGAGCAGAGAATGGGACAGCCTGGTGCCCCTACCGCCCAGAGGATGAAAAAGAGGCTTCTTCAGTAAAAGATACAAGCTTCCAGGGAGGTGACTGGGGCGGGGAAATCTTCCCCAAGGCGTTGCTCAGGCCCTTCTGCAGAAGGTGATGGGAACTCTGCTGTCAGCATCCCCGCAGATCAAATGCCTGGGTGGGTGACCCCGGACGTGAGGGAGTGAGAAGCCTGGAGGAGAGGAGGGGCTTCAGGGCAGGAGGGGCCAGGATTAGGGTAAGTGCCAGATCTGAAGCCTGGCCAGAGAAGAGTGGAGAAAGGCGGCAGAGGAGCAGGAATGGAAGGTTCTCTAGGTGTCCCGACACAGTTACAGACCCCTAGGTAGGATAGCATGCAGGACAGGGGAGTTAAGGGTTTTTCTTTAGTCAAACCTGCATTCGGTTCCTGATGTCGGCAACCACCAGCTGAGGGACCTTGGGCCAGTGAGCCTTTTCTCATTTTTTTGTGTTGAATCAATGAGATAAAGCACAGAAAGCACCCAATACGATGCCTAGCCTAGTAGCACTCAGTAAATTGCAGTGAAGCCTGTTAACATCCATCCTCGTGGAGGATGGTGACGCATTGGGGAGAGCCAAAGGAAAGGCAAATTCGAGCATGGAGGGGAGCAGATATGGAGCGCAGACCTGGTGACACTGGAGAGAGGAGGGAGCCGAGGGGCGGGACGGGGGAGGGGAGGATGGATGAGCTGAGATGCAGGACAGGGAGGAAGGAAGGAGGTAGCTGGAGCAGCACCACCTGCCGGGGCTCCAGAACCCCCCAGGGATGTCCCCACCTGCAGCTCCCTTGCCCTCACCGCCTTCTTCCTGCCAGGTGCCAACGGATTTCCCTGCTGTGGCAAGGAGTCAGTGGACATTGTGGAGACACAGTGAGAGCCAGTTCCCCATCGTCCAGGACCACCAACCCTTACCACCTGCCACCACTGCCAAGTTCTCATACACCCCCCAACCCGGGATCTCCCTCCATCTTGCTTCCTTCCAAAATCTCCCCAAGGGCGGTGTTGGGGCGGAGAGGAGTCCTACCACCTGCCTTCTGCTTCTGCCTCCAGCCCCTGACATTAGTGAAGGACTGAGGGGTGGCGGGGTACACTCAGAGACATGAATGGGAACTGAGCCCTTCTAGCTGCCTTGCTCTGGCACAGAGCGACCCGAGGTGGGGGCGGGGGGCAGATGCCTGAGGAAGGACAGGGAGTCTCAGTGGCTGAGCACTGAGGGTAAGGGCCCAGATGGCAGCAAAGTGCCAACAAGAACTGAGGGGACCCTCCACACACACCCCTGCCTTTCAGATCTGCCAAGCTGGGGTTGGGCAGGTCAGGAGGAGGGATTTTGCCCTGGGCTTCTCCCTCTGTGGGGAGCCAACTTCTGGGCACTGGTTCTCCAAGTGAGCTGCATTGGCTCATTGATTAGAATGAAGAATCCTGGGCCTTACCTCCAACTAACTGGATCCCTCTTTGGGGTAGGGAGCAACTTGGCAAGCTCTCCAGGCACCTCCTAAACTCACTAAAGATTGAAAATGCTGCTCCAGAATTCTTGGTGGATGCAGGGACAGCGAGGGGAGTGGATGAGCTGGGGGCGTCTTGCCGGCCCCTGTACAAGGGAGGGAATCTTGAGGGCCCCAGAGACCTCCATTCCCCCGAAGGCCACCCCACCCACTCCCTGGAGGCCTGTCATCCATTCTGTCCCCTTCTGTCGTAGGAGTGGCCTAAGCCAACACCAGCTGGTACCAGAGGAAGATGAGGTCGAGGTAACAGTGGGCAGGGGCACCTCTTCGGGGGAGGTGGTAGGTAAGGGGCAGGATTCCTTAAGGTCCGTCTTCCCTAAATCCTTGACAATCCTGGGAGCCCGCGCCCGGCCAGTGCTGGCATGCTCATGCACACCCATGCTCACCCCCGCCGCACACTGCCTCCCGGCCACAGGCAGGTCTCTGCCAAGAGGCAGGGGGAGGGGACAAAGGCAGGAAAGTGGGCTGGAGAATTGGTCCCAGAAGGACCTCAGGGGCCAGGGGTCTCCTCAGCGTCAGTTGAAACTTTCCAGCTGAAGAAAGAATTGCTGGAACTGGAGCCCCCACACAAAGTGGACCTGGACCTAGAGCCAGAACTGGAGCTGGAGCTGGAGTCCAAGCCCAAGGACCCTGAGCAACGGGAGCCTAGGACAGAGTCCCTCCAGCCCCCCACGCAGCAGGACGTCAGCCGGTGGAGTGTGAGGTCAAATTCTAGCTACCTGAGTTCAGTAGGGGAGGACCAGGCGTCCACCAACCAACGCTCTATCCGCGTGCAGACCTCTAAGCACCTCTTCTGGGCAGACAAACACATCCAGGCCTCAGAACACAGCCTGGAGCGGGTGATCAACATGCAGCATGGCAAGAACACAGGTAAGACCGCTGGCTGTCAGGACCAGCAGTCTGGCCCCAAGGCCACCACGTGCTCCAAGAAGCAGCTCCAGGACCCCAGGGCCCAGCCAGCTCCACCCACCACCAGCTCCCAGCAGCCACCAAACCCCCACCCATCCTCCTCCAGTCTCTCGCCAGGCATCGGCTTGGCCGATCTGGTCAACTTTGCCTCCTCCTTGGCCGCCGTGGCCTCCTCCAGCAAGATGGACTTGCCCAACTTGGAGCATATTGTCAAACCTCCACCTCAGAAGGTCGAGGCACCTTCTACAGATCCCGATATCCAGCTGTCCATGGACCAGCGAGAGCAGGAAAAGCTCATTAAGGACTTGCTAGAGAAACCACTTAAAGCCGAGGAGTCACAGAAAGCTCGGAAGCAGGAAGACAAGAACTTCTTCCACCCTTACCTCGGCTTCAGCAAGCCGGGGATCAAGAGGGCCGCCATTGAAGGAGAAGTGAAGCTTCTCCAGCAACAGACCTGGTCCCCTCCGCCTAAAGGAGCCGTGAAAGGGTAAGTGAGGCTGGCCTACAGCTTCCCGAAGAGGGGGTGTGCTTAGGATGTGTGGGTAGGCCCACTGCTCACACAGCTGGGTAGGGGTGGGGAAATGGAATGAGGGGCTGGGTAGGGGATGGGGTGGGCTGTGATGTCTCAACCTCAGTGACCTCATAAAGGCTGCTGGAAACAAGGTTCCGGTGCACTGAGGCACAGTGCCAAGGCCAGGGCTGGAGGAGGCCTGGGGACCATGGAGGGTGAGCACTTCCGGGCCCCGGCAAGGACCTGGGTTCGACATGGGAAGGGCCACTCTAGCATTAGGACGCTCGGTCACCCAGAGGGCAGATGGCCTCACCCTCATGGGAAAAGCTCAGCCTCGCATCTGCCCCGCTGAGAATTTGATGGCCCTGGGCCCAGGACGCTTCCATGGAGCCGAATGTGAGGGAGCAGCACCCCTTGCTTCCTGGTGACGAATGGACACAACAGAGGGCCAGCTGCCCATCAGCATGCAGCAGGAAGAGGCCCTCTTCCCCCACCCCCGGGAGCCCTCCCCACAGAGGCCTCTGGGCTCACCCCTCTCCCTGTCCCTGCCACGGGGGCCCAAGTGACACTCTCTCTTTTGCGTTGCAGCTCGGTGCCGAGAACCAGGAAAGGGAGTCCATTATTGCTGAAAATCCATTTTAAGGTGTCGTCCCCCACCTCCCCAGAGAAATGACTAGACAAAACCAGTAAAGCCTCCAGTGCTGGCCCCCGACTCAGACTTTTTGTGCAAATGCTCCCGGACCAGCGAGCTCACCTGGCTGTGGAGTCCCGGTCTCGCTTTTTTAGGGATGTCAGCCCCATGGTTTTTTTCTTTCAAGACTTTATTTAAATTCTAGTTAGTTAACACATCGTGTAGTATTCGTTTCCACCCACCCCCATTTTTGAGCTGCCCCAGCCTGTCCCCAGGGGGCTCTGCGAGCCCTATTTGGCCCCTCCTCGCTCCCCAGGGGTCCTTCCACTTCGCTCCCACCTTCCAGACCTCTCAGCCGGCGGCAGAGACTCGTGAGCCGTCTCGGGGAGGCCTTGGTGCCCTCTCTGAGGCTTCGGGTGTCTTAGGGCACGAAGTGGGGCTTCCTCTTGGCCTGAAGCCAGGGACATGTTGGGATCTTCTTAGGAGAGGACCTCCTGGGGGTGGGCTGGCCAGGTGAGGAGGCAAGGCTGAAAGGAATTCTTCCCGCTTCTGTCCACAGCAAGGGCCTGGCATGGGGAAGGGACGGTGTCCAGGGGCTCAAAGGAGGGGAAGAAGGAAGCCAAAGGACTGCCCCTCCAGGGGCCACAGCCTTGAGCTGGAAGTAGCTCAAAATGTAGGGGCGAGTATGTAATGGTGTACTTCCTCGAGCAACCCAGACACACTCACACACGCGCGCGCACACACCATCCGCTGACTCGTACCGCACACAGGCACGCACAGACACACGTCCACCCACAGACAGCTCCACGCGGGCCGTGTGCACAAGCACACATCCACACGCAGGCAGGCGAGCCGGACACGTGCACTAAACATGCACACAAATGCACAAGCCTCCCCACGACGTTGGGCAATGTGGGAAAGCTCTGGAAGAGGAGAGCTCGCAGCAAAGGAGGGAAGGGAGTTCGGAATGTGGGAAGAACACGGGCGGGGAAAAGGGAAGCCGGGGAGAAAGGGAGGCGAGAGGCAGAGCCATCGCTTGGGCCCTGGTCAGCCTCCAGACCCACCAGCACCAAGGCTCTCCGTCAGGTGAAAGCCCAGCCTTGCAGGTCCTCAGGAGCCTGCCCGGCCTTGAGAGGGGGCCGAGGAGGGAAGTGCCCAGGGCCTAGGAGGGTGGGATTAGGAAGGGGTGAACACTTGGGAATGGGCCAGGGCCGGGGGTGTGGGGGGGGGGGGGCGGGGGGGGGGGAATGGGGGGGAGAGGAGGGGGGGGGGGGGGGGGGGGGGGGGGGCGCTGGCAGAGGGAAATGGAGGACAGAAGACTGGAAAGAGGAAGGAGGAGGAGATGCAGAGGTGAGTATCTGGGGAGGCGCTGGGGTGTCGGGATGCATCTTCCTGGAGTATTTTGTGAACTGTGGTTTGCAAGTTTGCATGGTTTGGAAGAGGAGATCCTTCCCTCCCAGGGGACCTGGGGGAAGGCCGGGGGGGGGGCCACAGCCCCACCTTGGGCTGGACCCCTCCTTCCCACGCCCTGACTTCGGGACTCCAAGACCTGCTTCTCCCTGGGCCTCTGCCAGCCTGTGTGAGCCTCTGGAGTGGAGTCACACATTCGGATGCCTTAAGGGGAGCAGAAACTCAAAAGAGTAAAGCCGCAGGTCCCCCCCGCCCCCCGCAAAGAGAAGTAGGCCTGTGGCGAGGGACAGAGTGCCCCCCTGCCAAAAGCTGCTAAAGTCCACCCCAAAGCCATCCTCAGAGCCTGTGACTCTGCCTTTCAGGCAGCCGAAGGCAGAAGACCAAGAGATCCCCATCGTCGGCACAGGGGATGTTCAGGTAACCAGGGCTAGTGAAGGGTCTGCTGGGACAAGCTACTGCCCGCAGAATCCCCTGGATCGGGGACCATAGGTGCAGGCTGGTGGGGGGGTCCTGGGAGAAGGTAGAGCTGAGCCTGTTCCTCCACAGGGCCTGGTCTCAGCCTCCCCGCCCCCCACCCTCACCCTGGAGAGTCTGAGCACTCTGCTGGGCGGGGCCCCCAGCCCTGTCTTCTCCCTGCCTCCAAGGCCTCCACCGCAGCCTGGAAGACTGCCCACACAGGACCCAGGAGAGCAGCGGTGCTGCCAGATGCAGAAGGGGAGGCCTCAGCAGCCCACTGCCCCGCTGACCCAGAGGGAGCCAGCATCTGTCAAGGCCGTAGGAGCTGAGCAGGGCTCCCACAGGCCCAGGGAGGTCAAGCGCCTTGCAGCTGCCAGCTCAGTGCAGTCAGGCTCCGGGTCTCAGAGGTAAGGGCAGGAACCAGAGACCAGGCCTGAGGTGCGGGGTTTGGGGTAAGGCCTGCCTGGCCCTGGCATCTCTGTGCAGCAGGTGCAAAGTCCTTTCCACCCTTTTCCTCCTGAAGCAGCTCTGCGGACGAGAACCTGCTGCCCCTGACAGCCCGGCTGCTGGCAGGTGAGGGCCCCGGGCTGGGAGCGGGGGAGGAGGAGAGGACCAGCACGGGGCCACCTCCCCAGAGACTGGGATCATTGTGAGAAGTTGGTGATCATATTGTAACTGTCCCCAATGCCAGTCTAACTGGCTAATCTTTACAGTTCCAGGGCTCACTAATATGTGCACGCGTGTGCGTGCGTGTGTGTGTGTGTGTGTGTGTGTGAGAGAGAGAGAGAGAGATGGATGGATGGTTGGATGGATGGATGGATGGACAGAACACGTGAAAGATGAAAGAGGAAGGGAGGAAGGAAATTGGGAGGGAGGATGGGGAAAAATAATCTGAGTTCCCCACCTCCCCTGGAATCTGGAGCTGTGGGGTCTATATTTGAGGGCCCCAAAGCCACGGTACCCCTGGCAGGGGCCCCTCAAAGCAGCCATTTCACTCACCGCCAGTAATCTTCAGGGCCTGCTCCCCACCAGGTGCCAGCAGGGCTCCGGGAGCCTCAGAGCACTGCAGCTCCAGAGCCCAGCACTGCTCAGTCTACTGATGGTGGGACCTTGGACATTAAGTGTTGAATGTCTTTTGATACAAACATGTCCAAACATGAAACCTGAATGGGGACTTGACAAGTGCCAATACACGGTAGTCACTGGTGTTCTTTCAATGTTATAATGCCGCAGCAGTGGGAGTCACCCAAGTCTTCAGGACCGTTCTGAGCTAGAGTGGGCGGACCTCCGGGCCCCTGTGTGTGGTTCACCTTGCTGCCTGCCTCCCTCCCTGCCCGCAGCCTTCCAGGAGATCTTCAAACTGTTCAGCTCCAGCCCGACAGGCACTGTGGACATGTGCAGCATGAAAGCCGCCCTGCGCAATGTGGGCATCCAGCTGAGCCCACAGGAGATGTGTGAGGCTCTGCAGCAGGCCGACTTGGATGGTGGGTGCCCCCATCCCTGGCCTCTTGTCCTCCCTCACTTCTAGCCCCGGACGATGTCTCCTCTGCCCACAGAATCCCCGGCCTGGTCCCATTTTAAAGTTCCCTCTTCCAGGAAGCCTGCTCTGATCAACACACCTATCCCATAACCCCTAAACATTTCTGCTGTGTTAATCCTCACCCTGATTTGGGGATCCCCGAGGGCAAGGGCTATTTCTCCCCCATTCCACTGGGGTTGACATTTGGCTGGAGGTGGGACTGGATTCTCTAATGTCTGGAAGGAGATGCAAATACACCCCTAAAGCATATGCAGGGTGGGCCTTCTGCAGGGGAGGCCCCCACAGCACCCCTTCCTCTCTCTCTTCCCAGGTGACGGAACTGTAAGCTTCAAAGACTTCCTGGGTGTCCTTACTGACAGCCACCGCCTGGCTCAGTGCCTGGGTGAGGGGCAAGGCTGGTGGGGTGGGAACGGCCAGGACTGAGGGAGGCTCCTCCTCACACTCCCCCATGATCTCTGCTCCCAGGCCAGGTGAGGAGCAGCCGGTCCTGTGACCCCCAGGGCCTGCAAACCCTGTTCTTAGAGATGCTGTTCAAGCTGATGAGCCAAGGCTTCTTGTCCCACAAGGTGGTGCAGGAAGTGATGAGGTAGGCCCATGTCCCCAGTTTCAGGACCCAGGATGGGGGAGCAGATGCTGCCCCGTGCAGGGGTCCCCTGAGGGAGACGGGATCCCTGAATTCTGGGGCAGTTTCCTGTGGCTTCCTGTCCTGTGAGATGGAGAGGACTGGCGGTGTCTGATGAGGCCGCGCCCCACCTGTCCCCTCAAGCTACTACACCAAGAAGCAGCGGGCTCTGCGGCTGAACCCGGGCTGGAGGGGCCGGTCCTGCGGCCACAGTGACACCGTGCGCACTCACGCCGGCCTCACCTTCTTCTGCCAGGCCGCGCGCCTCAGCGGCCTCTCCAGCGCCGAGCTGGAGCGCTCGCTGCACAGACTGCACAAAGCGGGTGCGCCCCGGGCCAGGCGGGGACCCGCCGGAGGGGGCGGACCCTCCCTGGGGACCTGCTGTCAGGACTAGCCTCTCCTTTTCCTCCCCTCCCCCACCCCCGGCTTCCCCGGGCCAGGTGCGCACAGCCCCTACTCTCAGATACCTAACTTGGCCGGGCGGACACCCGCAGAAGACCGGATGCGGCCCCGAGCCCCGCGCCCCGACGTCCGACTTCCCAAGTCCTGCCACTCCAGCCGCCACAAGCTCGCGTCCACGCGGAGGTCTCTCAGCCCGGGTGAGAGCGGAGGGAGAGGGCGGGGCTGGGGGGCGGGGCTGGGGGCGGGGCAGACGGGGAGGGACCGGCGAAGAGCCGGAGCCGGACTCCAGGAAACCGGGAGGGAGGACGGCGAAGTAGTCTGGGATCATGCAGGGGCTTGACCAAGGCTAGGACGGAGCCTAAGAAAAAGGGGCAGGGTACCCAGACAGGAGGCGGAAATGGGGCGGGGCGGGTAGAAAGGAGGACTGAGGTGGGGCCAATCCAGAGTCTCTAAAGGGGAGCTGCCAGCTTGATCCTCCGCACGCCCCCTCTGCCCTCCCACAGAGTTCGTGGGCCAGCCACTAAACTATCTGCGCCCCGCGAAGATGACTCCCTGCCCCCCAACTCTAGTGCAGAAGCAGCCCTTCTCCCCTTCGCCAGCCTGTTTGCAGAAACCTGCTATGAAAAAGTAAAGCGTTTGCGGAGCAAAACAGGCTGCGTGTGGTGGGGCGGGCACAGAGCGGACGCGGATCTTTTGCAAACGTCTTTATTAATCTTGTATAAAAATAAGGTCCATGGAGAGTTCCCGGAGCTGGGGGTGGAGCGCGAGGTTGCACTTTATAAGTTACAGGCCAGGCTCCGGCTGAGGCTAAGTATGGCTATTAGGGGGAGAGGGGTGCTGCAAGCAGCATTTGGGGGAGGGGCCGGCGATGCTGTTCCCGCCCCCCCACGCCCCCGCGCCCGACCACTTGAGGTGGGACCATCTCGGAGAATGGCGGCAGCAGCAGAGGGGGCTGCCCGGCCCAGCCGAGCTGAAGACACCTTCCTTGAGCCCCTGAGCCCCGCCTTGCCACCCCCTCCCCATTCCCCACTGAGTCCTTCTGCAGAAAGAGCCGTTACAGCGAGAGGTCCGAGGTGACCTGCATGTGGGGTCCCGGGGGGCGCCGACGAGCACTTCTTCGGCCTGTGTCTGCACGGATGTAGGGCTGGTTCCGCAGATCTGGCAGCCAAGAGGAGAGACACTTACCTTCCAAAGTCTGCCCCGGGGCTAGGACCACAACTCCAGGGTCCAGGCCTCCCCACTGTAGGGACCCAGGTGGTGTGCATGTGGGAAGGGACCTATGTTTACCAGACCCCGCTCAAGCACACCCCAGCCACGCGTGGCCCAAGGGAGGGCAGCATGATCCAGTCCCCTGAGGGGCCCCCAGGGTTGTGGGCAGCTTCTGGGATCCCAGGCCAGGCTAGCCAGGTACCTGGGGGCTAGAGAGGGATCTCTTCTCCCAGGCTGGCCTCACAGAGGAGCCTGGACGTCCGCTTGCCAGTGCGGGCCGTGAAGGGCACCGTCTTGAGCACTGAGGGTTGGGAGGGAGGAGGGGGGAGAGAAAGGAGAAACAGACAGAAAAAAGTAGCAAGAAGCGGTGAGGCAGCCAGACCCCTAGGGTGGGGAGAGGGGGGAGGACAGCATTAGAAGGATGGCTAGAGGCTAGGAGAGGCCCAGCCCAAGCCTCACCTGTGATGATATCTTCAATGGCCCCGTCGCGGTCACTCTCATAGATAAGTGGCTCCTTCTGCTGCTTCCGCTTCAGCTCAGAGATGAGGTCCATCTGCTGCCGCCGGGCCTTGGGTGGTGATGGGAGGGTGGGGCATGGAAGGTGAGTAGCTCCAACTCCAGGATCCCCTCTCCCCAGGCCACCAAACCCTAGAACATCTGTGTGCCCAGTCCCCCACAGCAGGCTGGAGCAGGAGGAAGCCCTTCCCATCCCAGGCTGCTGGGGCACCATCCTCACCTTGGGCAGGGTCTGTTCACAGAAATGAGGGTACGGAAGAGGACCAGATCTTTGGGGTGAGGATCCCTGCGAAGTGCCAAGCTCAGGCACAGCTGCCTACCTTGGGTGCTGGGGCTTCTTCTTTGCCAGGGGCGTCAGCACCTGCCTCCTGGGCTACTGCCTCCTTCTTCCACTGTTCCACCTCCTGCTCAGCTTTCTGAGGGGCCAAGGTGGGTCTCTGTGAGGGGAGTCTTATCCCACCCCCAGACAGAAGCGTCCCCTACCCTCTGCACTGCCCAGGTGGAGAGGCCAAAATGCCCCGCAGGGGTCCCAGCCGGCCCACCACACACACATACCTTGTAGGCCTTGACGAAGCGGCTAAAGAGGGAAAAGAACATGGCGGGGGACGTGGTCTTGGGGTTCTCTCCGAAGTACTCCACCACGGACTCGTAGGCCTCCTGTGGGCACAGCCTGTCAGCCCCACCAGCACGACCCCTAGGAGCTCCATATGCCTTTAAGACACTGGCCACTTCATCTCTGCTCCTCCAGGCAGGTGGGCCCCCTGCCCCCTCTCCCACTTCATCCCCCCCCCCACCTCCCTACCTCCCCACCTCCAGGGCCTGGCCAGCCCTGGCCCACCTGAGCGGTCTTGCTGTCTGCCAGCAGCTTATCCATGGTGGGCGAGTTGGACCTCAGGAACTCCTTGAGCACCATGCAGTTGTCCTGCCGCACAAACTCTCGCTGGGTCAACTCCAGGCCTCGCTGCAGGGAGCGCACATCCCCTAGGACGCTGTCCAAGGACACTGAGTGGGGGTTGGGGCAGCACAGAGGCAGGGAATCAGAGAGGTGGCATTCCCATCCAATGACACCCTGTGGTCCCCTCACTTTTTCTCAACCCCTATCAGTCCCCAGGGCGGAGCCCCTCCCCCCGCCCAGGAGGTGGTACCTGCACCCCATACCTGAGCCCGCCTTGTCCAAGAAGTGCAGGTCGCTGTGGAAGCCTGTGAGCTGTGGGTACTTCTCGGCAATGACCTTCACCAGGTAGTGCAACAGCGTCTGCTTGCGGTCAGTCGACTTCATCTCCAGCAGCTGCATGCAGGCCTGTTGTCAGCCACAGGCCACCGGCTGTCCCCCATCCCCCAGGCCAGGGAACCCCCTCCTTGTGCCCCTCACCACATCCAGGCTCTGGAGCCGGAAGCCATAGGCTGCCCCACGCTTGCTGCTGTTCATGTAGTTGCCAAAGGCCAGGACAATCTGGGGGGGGAGGGGGGTGCTCAGCAGGGTGCTGGGGCTGAGGGAACCCCCTCAAGTATAAACTGCACAAGAAAATGTGGTGAAAAGCAAGCCCCACACACTCAGCCCGCACCTGACTCCTGCACGGGCCCCTCAGGTCCATGACCCATGTACACGCATGTGTAGCTGACATATGTGCCTGGTCTCCCCAATGTCTTTAAGATTTTATTCTTAAGTAATCTCCACACCCAACATGGGGCTCGAACCCACAACCCCGAGATCAAGAGTCACATGCTTGGGGCGCCTGGCTGGCTCAGTTGGAGGAACATGTGACTCTTGATCCTAGGGTCATGAGTTCGAGTCCCACATTCGGTGTAGGGATTTCTTAAATAAATAATTATAAACTTAAAAAAAAGAAAGTCTCATGATATTCAATCAACTGAGCCAGCCAGGTGCCCCTTAGCATACCCAGTGTTGTCCTCTGCTGCTCCCACCCAGAACTGCGCGGCTGACATCCCCTCGGCCGTGATGTCACGGTCTATCTAACAGCCATTTCTACCGGCTCCCGGGACCTCCCCTAGACTCCACTGAGCAGGTGTGGGTGCTCTGCTAATCACATAGTGATCCCCAGAGGGGGCTCAGCCCTCAGGAGGAGTCTAAGGTGCACTGTTGTAGACATAACCTCCACCCCTGCCTTAGCTTTGTCTTTCTATGTGAGAGTTGGGAACATATCTGTTGCATCCCAGGAGTGCAGGGCAAGGCCAGGGTCTCCCCCTCACATGACCCAGAACAGGCGAGGAGTCATGAGCGGGCCCCACTTCCCAGGCCTTGCCCTGGGCTCTCACCTCCAGGATCTGGCGGAGTTTGTCAGAGGACTTGATGGACATTGAGGCTGCAATTACGGCATTCAGTTGCTGGGGGTGCAATTGGAGAGGCAAGATAAGTTGGGGCAGGGTGGCGGGCGAGCCCATGGGAGGCTCAAGTCCTCCTACATGCCCTCTCCCCGCGGAGGCTGCTAGCTGCCTCCTCGCATCCCCAGCCCAGAACACAGCGCCCTGCCTGCCCCGCCCACACCGCCCTGCCCCGCCCACACCGCTCTGCCTGCCCCGCCCACACCGGCATGAGCAGCTGGACAGTATCCGGAAAGTTGCCCAGGAAGGTGAGCGTGGCCATGCGCTCGGGCAGGCGCGGGATGCGGCTGAAGCGTAGCATGAAGCGGTCCTCCTCCGACAGCTCCTCCATGGGTCGCTGCTCCTGCTCGAAGCGGGCGATCAGGCTACGCTCGTACTCCGTGGGCAGGAAGCGGGTCAGCAGCTCCAGGAAGTCCAGGCCAAGGGCCTGTAGGTCGTACCTGGTGGAAGGTGGGGTAGTTATCGCTCTATACCCACCAGTTCTTGAGGGCAGGACTATACCCCCCACCCCACTACCTCGACTGAATAAATGAACTTCAGTATTTGTTCTTTGCCAATAGCTTCAGGGACCAAGAGGTAGGAGTCAGGGACGTTGGGAGCTGGGAAGCCAGAGGTCCCTATCATACATACATCAGTGCCAGAGGCCCAGCTGTAAATGCCTGGGCCTGAGTGCTCACAGCTGGGCAAGGAGGCAGGGAGGAAACGGGAATGTCTCAGTCTGGGTGTGGACTCACACTATGGCCTCATTTTCTTGGCCTGAAAATGGGAACAAGGTTCCCAGCCCTACTCCCTGACCAGGGTTAGCATGAAGCTTGATGGGCTCTGCCCCATAGTTGGGACTCTTTTACCAGATGCCTGATGACCCCGGGCCTAGTAGAAGGGCTGGGCTACTCACAAGTGCAGGGCAGAGGTACTCACGTTTCAATGGCCTGGCAGATGCGGTCAGCACCCAGGTTGCCCTTGCGCAAGGTGATCGCCAGGTTCTTGGCCCGGTTGGCCTCGATGAGGGTGGCCTTGCTGGGGGCCTTCTGGGCTGCCTTACCCTTGAGAGCACTGAGGTCCAGGCTGGGACCTTGGGACTTAGTCTTGAACTGCTCCTCAAAGTCACTCATGTCTAGCTCCTGAGGGCACAGGGAGAGGAGGTGGGGCTGGGCGGGCTGGGGTCTGATATATTCCTGGCTGAACCAGCTATCCAGCTCTGACCACACCACCAGCAGAGAGAGAAACCAGTAACCTGGCTTGACCACAAGCCCTGATGGGGGATACAGGGGAAGTGCAGACAGTGTCGAGGAGGAAGAGCAGTACCCAACACTGGGGACCCAGACTCCAAGCCCTTACAGCTGAAGGCAAAGCTGAATTGGCTGGGGGTAAAAAGGGGAAAGGGCATTCCAGGCAGAAGGAACAGCATGAGCAATGGCCTGGAGGCAAGAGAACACATCTCTTTTGGAAAACTAAAAGTAGAATTAGAAGGGCTAGAGGTGCCTGGGTGTCTCCGTTCGTTGAGCATCTGACTCTTGATTTTGGCTCAGGTCATGATCTCATGGTTGTGAGACTGAACCGCACACTGGGCTCCTCGCTGAGCTTGGAGTCGGCTTGGGACTCTCTCTCTCCCTCTCCCTCTGCCCCACCCCTGCACTCCACCCTGCACTTCACCCTGCTCTCTCTTAAAAAAAAAAAAAAAAAGAGAGAGAGTTGAAACCCTGGTTGCCTGTGGGGGTGGTGGAAAAGAAGCTTAAAAGAAGGAGAGAGAGGCCAGACAGGAGGCTAGATGTGCCCTCTACAATGAGGGAGGGGAAAGCCTCCAGGGGAGTCCGGACATACTGCCTATCAGATACACTAATAAAATGTATCTTAACAATCCACGTAGCTTAACACCCATCCCTGGGCCTCCATGCCCTCATCCGTACAATGGGGTGGAAGAGATGCCCTAGCATGATCCAGGCAAGTGCCCTCTCCCCTGGTGCCCACACTGGAAGCAAGGCAGGGCCACACTCACCTGCAGCACCTTCTCGTCATTGAGCTCAGTGAAGACAGTGCCAGTGATCTGGTTGGGTTTCAGGGCCACCCAGTTTAAGAGTGGCATTCTGAACTTGGTCTGTATGGGTTTCTTGGCCTTCACTCCTGGGACAGGGAGAGAGTGGTGAGCGCTGGGGAGGTGAGGGTGGGGTCGTTGGCGGGACCCAGGGCCCAGAGAGAGGCCTGACAGGACAGGCAGAAGGAAATAGGAGGCCCCCATACACAGGGTCCTGGAGGACACTGAGGTCGGGGCACCTCCGTATCTCCCCCCAGCCCTGGGCGGTCCACTCACCTGGGCCCATCTCAGGGCCGGACCCTCCAGAGGGACCTCCTGGAGGCGGTGGAGGCGGCGGAGGCACGGGTCCATCTGTGCCGGGAGGCAGCGGTGGGGGCGGGGGTGGGGGCGGCAAGTCTCCAGGCAGCGGCGGTGGGGGCGGGGGCACTGAGCTGCCAGGGAGGGGTGAGGACAGTGGGGGTGCCGGGGGCGGGGCTTCCTGCTGGTCGGGGAGGCCGGGAAGTGGGGGTGGTGGAGGCGACGGTGGGGGTGCTGCTCCAGGAGCAGGCTCTGCCGCAGGTGGGAGATCTGAGCCGAGAGAGAACCGAGAACCCAAGATGGGCAGAAGGAGGGGGAGTACCAAGTTGTGGACCTAAGCGCTCTGGCCTCTGCCTCCCCTCCCTACGCATGCGCACTGGGTCCCCGTCTACCCTCCCGCAACCACCTGAGCCACGCCCACAACCCCGAACCTACGTCTCCCCACTCTCCTTCCAGACCCGGGTTCCCCCACGCCCACCCCACCCAGCCCGAAGCTCCTGCGCACCTGCGCTGGGTGAGTCGGTGAGCACTCCCGGAGGAGTCGGGGCGTCACTGCCGCTCGGAGTTGCCACAGCGACCGGAAGGATCTCGATGGAGACAGCATCCCCGGGCCCCCGTACGATACGGATTAACCCCTTCTCCTCCAGCTCCTCCACCTTCAGCTCTAGGGCCGAGGGCCGCGCCGCCGGGACGGAGGTAGGCACTTTCTCAGGCTCAGGAGGACGCCTGGAGGCGCCCATGGAGGTCGACTCGCTGAAGCGCTCCTGTGAGCCCGAGGGGGGGGGGGGGGGGGGTGGAGAGGTCAGTGCCTCCCAGCAGGCCTGGCACAGAACCCCCACCCTCTTGCCCGGGTAGAGGAAGTGCCAAGCCCAGAAGCCCCACCGAGCCAGTTCTTGGGAGCCCAGCCCGCCCCTGGCCCGGCCCCCTCCGCCCCCAACCTCACCCGCAGGGTCTCCAACTCCTTTCGAGCCTGGCTTAGCTGCTTTTCCAGCTCGGCAATCTTGGCCATGGATTCGTTCTCCGCGTCCCGAAGCTTCTCTGTCAGCTGTGGCACAGCTCATGGTGAGTCCCCACCCGCCGCTGGGCACTGGCGCCGCCGCCGCTGAGGGGGCGGCAGCAGGCACGCCTGCCTGCAGGGCTGGGGGAGGCTTCCGGACGTGCGTAGGGCCCGGTGCCTGGCGGGTGGGCTGAGCCTGGCCCTTGAACCCAAGTAGGTGAGATCCTGAGGGTACTACCGTTCTCTCGGGAGGAGAAACCAAGGCACCCCTGAGGAGGGAGGTGGGTGGAGAGAGACTGGGCCAGGACGGGCGCCAGGCACCCAGTTCCACCCAAGCCAGGGTGTGGGCTCCGAGCGCGGGGAGAGGAGCGGCCTGCCTTCCTCAGAGGTCCCGCAGGGTAGGAACCCAGTGAACGCTCATTGAGAAAGAAGGCACAGGATGCGAGATTTGGATTCAGGTCCAAGTCAGGGGCCAGGCAGACAGCCACCCGCTACTCACACCTAAAACCAATGCCTGATGCCAGTGTGAGGCCCTGGGGGCCTCCTATGTGCTGGGCCGAGTCCGGGAGCGGCTCTCACCAGGGCCACCTGCTCCTGCAGCTCCTCCATGTGCTCCAGCACAGCGTTCTTGGTCTCAGTGTCCTCCAGCAGCGCACCCACATCAAAAACATTGTCCAAGTATGCTTGAATCTGCACGAGCAGCTTGTCGCTCTCCGTGTGCCGGAGCCTCTGTCCCCCAGACAGAGAGAGCAGGGTGAGGCCCGAGGCGAGGGGTCTTTCGAGGACCACCCCCCCATCACCCCTAGGGTCTAGAGGGAGGGGCCTGAGCCCTAGCCTGCTTTTTTTTTTTATTGAGATATAATTGACAGACCATAAAATTCATTATTTTAAAGCATATAATTCAGTAGTTTTTCGTATATTCACAGGGTTGTGCAATCATCACCACTGTCTAGTTCCAGAACATTTTCATCACCCCAGAAGAACCCCTGTACCTGTTAGCAGTCAGTCCCTATACACTCCCCCCCTGACCGCTGGCAACTACCCATCGACCTTCTGCCCCTGTGGACTTATCTCTTCTGGACATTCATATAAAGGAATCATAACAGTATTTGGGCTTTTGTGTCTGGCTTCTTTCACTTAGCATAATGGTTTTAAGGTTCCTCCATGTGGTAGCATGTGTCAGTACTTCATTCCCTTATATGGCTGAATAATATTCCCCTGTATGGATATATCACCCCCACCAGCTTTTCACCTTTTGGCTTTCAGAAATCCAATCCCAAAGGCCCTGCTCCTCCAAGAAGCCTCCCAAAGGAATCGGGGAACCTGCAGCTTCTCTGCAAAGGCTGGACCAGGAAGTGCCAAGCCCCTCTGCCTACCTTCCCCAGGGCAAGGAATGCCTCTAGGACCTGGACCCATCCAACACGAGCCAGCTCCCACTTTGGCCCAATATCTCCGTGCTCCCCATTATGCGCTTGAGTCAGAGCTGTCTGAGGCTGATGCTCCCAGAGCCAGACAGACCCAGGGCCACCCAGAGCCTGTTCCGGTGCCTGTGATAATAGCTCCATGGACCACGTGCCTATAAGGTGGCAGAAAACGTTCTGCCTCATTCTATTTAGAGTCATTATTACCTTTATGATTCTCTCGTTTTACAGATGAGACTCAGAGAGAAGAAGAAACCTATCCAAAGTCACATGGGCTTGGAAGGAGCAGAGTCGGGATTTGAACCAGATCTGCCTGACCTCAACACCCATGCTGCTAAGCACAGAGCCACACTCTGCAGCTGGTGAGTGGTTAAGTCCCAGCGGGGGACGCAGGGCTCACCTCCAAGTACAAGTCCAGGCCCAGGTGCGTGAACTCATATTGCAGGAAGACACGGAAGTTCATGTTCTCCACGGAGTGTACCACGATGTTGATGAACTGCATGCAGGCCACCTGGGAAGCAGAGCCCACAAGCAGGTCTGTGACCCTCTGGGTGGGGGTGCTCAGTGCCTTCTGTCCCCCATTTACTCCCAAGTCTCTCCTTTTCCCCATTTCTCACTCAGCTAACCCAGCTTTGGCCCTACCCGTATTTTTTCCCCAGGTTCCCTCCCTCCAGCTTCCCTGTCTCTGACATCCACCCCTCCCCCACCAGCCACTCAGTCCTCATACTTTGCAGGAGCAGAGCCCAGAAGCTGGAGACCCCGGCCCCCGGGCTGCTCCTTACACCGAGGGTGGCCAGGACGGCCAGGCCCAGCCTGGGCTCCCGAGCTCACCATGAAGTCGATGTTGCTGTCCTCTTTCTGGAAATATTCCATCAGCTTTTCGAAGCGGTGCTGCTCCCCACACACCTGGGTGGGGAGAATGGCTGTCATGAGGGCCCCAGTGACACACCTCCCAAGCCATTTCCAGCCACCACCCTTGTGCTTCTACGGGCTCCTCCCAGCTAAATCGAAGTCAGGCCACGTCACTCTTCTGCTCAAAACCTCCCCTCCCTCTCCATCTCCCCCAGCCCTCCCTTCACTTACTGCCCTGGCCACACTGGTGTCCTGGCACTTTCCCACCTCAGGGCCTTTGCACCTGCAGTTCCGTGTGCCTAGTGTGCTCTTACTCGAGATCGCCACCACACCAAGCCTCTCACTTCCCTCACAGCTTTGCTCAAGCTTCACCATCTCTGTGAGGCCTCCCTGTCCACCCTGCGACCCGTTCCTCCTGCCCCTCTGGCAGCCTGCTCTTGTTCCTCAGAGTGTCCACCGTTTTCAGACACATTATATAATCTGCTCATTTAGTATACTGTTTATTATCTGTCCTCCCCTGCCTTCTTTGTTTCTTTTGCTCACTGATGCATCCCAAGTGCCCACTCTGTGCCTGACACATAGTAGGCACTCAACAAATCGTCATTAAGGGAAGGAATGACCATACCCCACCTTGTGCGTCATATTCTCATGCACCCACTCAGCCAGAGTCACAGCAGAGGTGTATGTATGCAACCCAGAGATGCGTGGACCAAGCCCAGTTTGGATCTGGCCAGGCTGAGGGTCAGAGGTTCAGCAGATCCCCGTAGTTGTCCCTGTCGCCCCAGGCAGTGCCCCACATGACCTGGCACCTGCCCTTTAAAGCTTCCCCATCCCAGATTATCCCTACCCTGTGCTCCCCAAATGCCTACCCAACACTCCCAGCTGCCCCCAGCGGAGGCCACAACTACAAGCCACAGGACTCCAAGCAGCACCAGAGAGCAAGCACCTGTTGGGAGGGGGGGCTTCAGTACCTCCTTGAAGTTGTCAAAGGCCGCCAGGATGATGTCATGCCCTCCTCGAACCAGGCACACGGCTGCCAGCAGCTCCAGCACCAGAGCCTTGGTTCTGGGGACAGGAGGGCCAATTTACCCCTTGAAAGCAGGCCCCACAGCAAGGCTGCGGGTGGGCCAGGCTGGGGGAGGGCAGGGAGGGCAGCTGATGGGGAGTAGGGGTGGGATGAGCCTGGTCAGCAGTCCTGGGAATGGGAGAGCAGAGTAGCCAGGGGTGAAGGGGCAGGAGAATCTAGATGTGGAAAAAGGTGAGGGGCCCGGACCTCACCTGGGGTTCTTGTTGTTGAGGCTCAGAGCAATCTCATTGACACAGGCTGGGTGGGTCATGACGAGGCTGAAGCCAGACTGGCGAGAGAGGAAAGGTCAGCTCCTCCAGGCAGACCCCCAGGACTGCCAGACTGGCCTGCCCAACACCTCAGGCACTGGCAGGGCCATTGCCTCCTGGTCTCCCACGGGCCTCAGGCTTGGGAAGTTCTTCAGAGCCAACCACAGCCTTTTCTGTGGCAGCCAGAGCCTGGCCCCTCTTTTTAAATAACTTGGTTCGAAAGCCAGTGTCAGGATTCAGCACCTCGGACACAGCGAGCCCTCAACGGCCGGCTAAGTGAAGGAGGACTGGCCGCACCAGCCACTCCTCCAAACAGAATCACCCAGAGCAGCTGTCCCTGAGGGCGCTGTGTTCAGCCTTCCCTGGTGAGGGTGCCTAGGTCCCCACAGGAGACATGTCCATGCCCCCAGTCATGTCCAGGGTACTCCAGGGGACCTGACCAGGAAGGGGCAGAAATCTGGGCTTCCCCTCAAGCCTCATCAGCCTCAAGACCCTCAACAGCCCCCATCCCCAGGGTTCTCCAGTGGGGAACAGGGTCGGGGCGGGGGGGACAGTGGGTCCCTGAACCCCAGCGGCTTAGGCAGCCCCCGGTGAGAACAGGCTCAGCTCCCCCGGGCCCCCCAGTGCCTCACGCTCCCTGACCAACCTGGTAGTTCATGATGGCGCGCAAGCACATGATGCACACGTGGACGTCATCCTTCTGGCTAACGATGCGAGAATTCCGCAGGGCCTTCCTGCTGTGGGCAGGGGTCAGCCTGGGTGGAGCAGGGGGGAGGCAGCAGGGCTCAGAGTCCTACACCTGGCTTCCCACAACCCCTCCCCCCGACAAGGCACATCTGGAACATTAGGCAATTGATTCCCACCCACCCAACCAAAGAGGCCAGCGGAAGGCAGGAAGGCTTCCTTGGTCCCGAGGCCTTGGGCCTGGCATGCTGCAAGGGGGTATGGAGGGGCTCCAGGAAGGCAAAGACCCTTAACAGCAACTTGGCATCAAAAAGGGTTGCTGTGTTGTGGGGGTAGACAGCCTATAGAGGGAAGACAGCCAAAGCTTGGAAATCACCACGGGAATGCTCTCCACAAGGTGGCGCTCCCAGCCTCATGGGCTTATCGGCCATCTTGAAAGGCCAACTCTGAATTCAGACAGCCTGGGTTCAAATCCCTGGCCACCACTTACTAGGCAAGTTTACTTAATCACCCCGTGCCTCAGTTTCCTCATTTGTAAAACAGGAATGGTAATAACAGTACCTTCCTGATAGGGTTTTTGGGACTATGAAATGAGCTTAGAACAGTGCCTGATACATAGTAAGTGCCAAGAGTGTCCTTGATAATTCTTTGCTAAAAAACATGATTTTTTTTTTCCTTGTTGCAGAACTGCCCATCATGACTTCCACATCAGTGCCTCTTGACAATTCTATCACGTTTCCAACACTGGGAAGCCCTCCCCCCTCCCCCCATCTGCCACATCGTCCTTCTCCCATCATTGCTCAGATGTGCCTAAGTCTTTGCTCATGCTGTTCCTTCCACCTGGAATGTCCCCATCACTGCCTGTAAAGCCCGTACCCATCTGCGAGACATAGTTCCAGCGCTCTCTTTTCTGGAAGACCTTCCTGATGCCCCGGGAAGTAGCCACCTCCCCTCTCAGAGCTCCCAGTCACACCTCCACGATAGCCTGTCAAACACTGTCCCCTTCTAGACCAAGGGCTCCCAAAGGCAGGGTGATCTCTCTCTCTCCTGAGCACCTGCTACCATGCCTGATACATAGGAAATGCTAAAAAAATATTTGTTAAATGAGTGAATGAATGAGCAAACAAAGGAACATATTGTGAGAGTTTGGGGCTTAATATGAAGTAGGTCCCTAAGACCAAAGTTGGAAGGATGGAAGCTGGGGGGCCACATGAGGCCCCAGGGCTGCCTTCTTCCCTCTCCCCGCCTCCCAGCAGGATGTCCTGCATTGGGGTGGGGTGGCCTATCCACAGCAGGTGAACCCAGGGGTGTCAGCTGAACACCCCACCGAACCCCACCCCCACCCAGGGAGCCAACCAGGCATGCACCTGCCCCCAGGTGGCTACGTACCGGGGAGAGGGGGGGCACCTGGAGGCCGCACAGGAAAGAAGAGTGGGTTAGAGAGGACCAAGGGAGGTCTCACCAACCCAGAAACACCTTCCTTAAACCAGACCCACCCAGATTCCAGTTCCTAGGTGCCCATCCCTGGAGGGCTTCTTAACACACCCATCTCTCAAGCCCTGCTCGAGGCTCTGTGACCCGCAATGCCAGGCTACCCCTCCCACCACCCCGAAGGGCCTGGGGCGGGGCTGGCAGGGTGCAAGGGTCTAGGGGTGAATCTTCTCTTACCCTTGCCACCCTGCCAGGGGCCCCACGTACTTGATGGTCAGGTGGCGGCTCTTGGGCTGGGGAGGCAAGGACGAGGGCGGCCCCTTGCTGAGATCTTCCACGGACTGCTCCAGGGGCTTGCTCTTCTCTGAGCTGGGGACCCCATTGTCTGCACTCTCCATGTCATACCTGCAGGGGTTAGAGTGGGGCTGAAAGCCCACCCTGCAGGGGCCCTTGAGGGCAGGGCGGGGGGCGCTGAGGGGAGAGAGGTGTGTGCAGGGGAGATCAGGGGCTGTGCTCGGTGCTGTGCTGGGCAGAGGAGGGGGCCAGGGAATGATGGAACAGAAGAGTAAGCCGCCCAGGTCCCAGCTGGCCACCCCAGGCCACATCCCTCCCTGTCCATGCAGGCCCTGAGGAAGGGACATCACCCACCGCACGGGTGCGGTGTGCGTGAGCCCAGGGTGGGCTGGGGCGGCACTGCATGGACGTGGCCAGAGGCGAGGATGAGGTACAGGGAAGCACGGACCAGGGCTCTGAGAAGCAGCGTGAGGCCGGGGCGGGGGGCTTACGTGACGGAGCACTGGGCAAAGGCCAGGTACTCGAGGAGCACATCCAGGCCACGGTTCTCCTCGTTGAGGAACTCCTCCACCCACCTGCAGGGCACAGGGCTCCCTGAGTTCCAGCCAGGAGGGAGGTCCTGCCCAGACTGGGCACAGAACAGGCACAGCCAGGGCCCCGGGGCTGCTCATCCCCCACCCCACCCCTGAGACACCAGCCAGCCCCAACCTCAGAAGACCCAGTGAGGCTAGAGGGTGCTAGGGGGCTCAGGTGGGACCCAAGGCCCTGCCATGCCTCAAGGGGTGAACAGAGGGTGGGCAGGAGAAGAGGCAGGGAAGCTGTACTGGACACCCCAACCCAGAGGGGCCCCGCAGACATGGCCTATGCGGGGGTGGGGGGGTGTTGGGGGCTGACGGGGGAGTAGCAAAGGGAAGCCCCAGGAGCTGCCTGGGGACAGAGCTCTCCCAGGCCCCCAAGAGGGAAATCTGAGCCCTTGCTCACCCAATGTGGTTTGTCCTCAGGGAGATCTCCAGCTCCCGCAGCACCTGTGTGGACTCCTGAACTCGCCTCTTAAACTGGGGACCAAGAACAGGAGAGTCTGGTGGGTGAAGCCTGAGCCCCCCCCACCACCACGGCTGGCCTTTCACGCTCCGCCTCCCCCACCACCTCCACACACCTGCCTGGCAGAATAAGCATCTCGGGCTACACATAGCCCCACATAACGATGAGCCCCACACGCAGACGAGGGTGCACACACATACCTCCACACACAGACGTGCGGCATGCACGCACACACACACACGCATCCATATACAAGCACCCTGGGTACACAGATATGACACCCGTACATCCATACATGGACACCTGGGGTACGCGCACACGCGTGCACGTGCACACACATCCATACATGGACACCTGGGGCACGTATGCACGCACATCCATACATGGACACCTGGGGTACACGCACACACATGCACACACACGCACATCCATACATGGACCCAAGGGTACATGCACACACACACACACATCCATACA